CCCTCGTCTCAATCCGCATCATACTCGAGACCGTGTTCTTCTTGCCTTTGGGGGTTTTCGGATACCAGCGTTTTACACGCCTATGCTGAAGTTCGCCCTAGTAATTGAAACAGTACTAATTAGTATGTGGTATATACACGCGCGATCAAATCAAAACTTACTGGCTGTGTGCTGAAGCTATCAGTAGTACCAAACTGTCAGATTGTATCAGGGTAATCTCCCAGAGCGTGATACTTGTAGGTCATTAGATTAAGTTTCTTCCGCTTTGGGCCGGAAGAAACTACCCTGCCCTTTGGGTCTGCTTCTCCAAGCTTGGAAGCTAATGCAGCTTCCAATCGGCCGCGTGTTGCATACTCGTGGGGTAGTTCTGATGTATCGTAAACCTTACATGTAGTACGAGAAAATTTGCGCACCGTCTGCCCCAGAGTGACTGTGGCAGCATCAAAAAACCTAAGGGTGTCCTTGGTATGCATTCGCAACTTTGCAAAGCCGTGCCAAGTTGCCAGGTCGAATAGAAGGTCCAAAACCATGGTATTATCGTCGCCTGGCAGTAGGCCCTCGAAGACTGGAAGCGCGCACTATAAATATATACAGATCATTGAAAACCAAATCAAGAAAGTTGGAACTGACACTTACCTGCAGCAGATCCTCAAAATCCCTCACAGCTAAACGTTTCATAGCCGACGCATTGGAATTGAACTTCCTGATGGTTCCTCTACCAAAAGTCGGCGTAGCTCGATATCTATTAAGATCCGTTAGTAGATGTAATAGAAATTTGAAAATACATACCTTCTATTCAGTGTCTGGACGGAATCTCCACCAGCTGCATGCAAAATGCGCATCAAATGAGTAAATTTTGCCTTCCATACACCGAGTTCAAACTCGTGAAGTTTGTCAACCACGAACATACGGAAACGGTTGAACCCGTGAGGTGATAACTTCACAGAAAATGTGTTCTATGTATCAAATACCATCAATTATTAGTAGGGAGTGAAACAATATAAAAAACTGACTCGAGTTGGTACCAATGACTCCGAGTTGAGTATGTTCTGGACACGAGTCCCATCAACAGACATGCCCAACTGAAAAATGAGTGCCCGGGTGTCATCGACTTCTCGGCAGTGTATCCGATTGTCCTTTCACATGCGTCTGAGCCGATGTTTCATATCCACCTTTGTTCCCATCAAAGGAACCTCGTCCTTCCTTGTGAGACAGCACGGACAAAGGCACCGTCCGAGATTTTTGATGCCTGTGAGAATAACTCTGAGAAACATTAACATACATGTGTCAGGATATTAATTAAGGTACTTACTTCTCGGGATAGTCGGCTGAGTATGTAAAAAAACGAGGGAAGACTCGGCGAGTGATGCCATCACCACATTTTATTACCATGCTGTACTGGTAGGCGTGCATGAAATCCTCATCCAGCAGTAGAGCCCATATAGCCTGCATTAGCTCGCGTTTGCAATGCGTATAGACTTGGCTAGTACTAGGCTCGCCAAATACACTCATATACTGATCTTGGAGATCTTCGGGCAACTGAAGATCGGTTTAGAGTTAGTAGATACTCAGTACATTTCAAATAGATCACTTACTGAAGGAATGTAAGCGATGTGGTGACACACAGATGCGGTTGGTTTCCCTCGAGTATACTTTGATTGATTGCCGAAATAAAGGTAGAAAGGCCAAAGTGAAGCATCACCGAAACTCGCAAGATGAGTTGCGTCTGACCACATCATGAGAGATGCGACAACACGCTCAAGGTTGTCTCCTGCTTCGCGAGGCAGATTGTTAATCTCGGCGTATGTCTCGATCATTTCGGGGCTGGAGTATGCTTCTGAGAACACCTCGATGCTACGTCCATCGGGAGATTTCCAGAACTTGCGATAAGGAGTCATGTTGAAGGTCGTCGCGACGTCATCCTTGAAAACGGACTCTATTATATCAGTGATCGAGCAGTGATAGACTCCGGGTATTTCGAGTTCTGGGGCCTCAGCCTCAGCGCTCCATTTCTTACCCTCTTTAGGTAGCCTGATCTTGACGGCAGATTGGCGCCAGCCATATTCCTTGCGGAATGGATTGGACGATTTCTGCAAATAGGCATCAATGTTTTTTGATTCCCGGGTATGGGAAAATGAAAGAGCATCGCTATGATCAAATAGTGGATCACCAATGAAAGTGGTGAGGCGCTGCAATTCGGCGACAGACTGCTGACCAGTTCCAGAATACTGATAGGCCATAAGGAGGCCGGAGGTGGGATTGGAGAAAGCTGCATAGAGATCCTCCTGACCGATCTCCTTGGACGACAAGCCTTCAATGATGCGACTCGAATTGGGAATACAGTTACCTCCAGCAAGTGTGGGAGCATCGGTAACATCCTCGAGGGTATCATTGTTGGAGAGTAAGGTGGGGCGGGTAGGATACAGGCGGTAGAGACCTGCTTCGTCAGGTTCCGTTTCAAAGGGGACGAGAGGGAAGGGGTCCTCATGCTCTGACTGCGGCGGGGAAGGTGTACAAGGCTTGGGGAGAGGTTGATCCGCAATGACATCATTATGACGTCCGCATTGCTGGCGGTCAGAGGGCGGCATATGCGCAAGGTGAGTTGCGGACCCTGGCAGGAAGTCTGCAAAGCGAGCGGGCATGCGGATTCTCCGCCCAGAGCGCTGGGAGACAACAGGTGGGGGTGAGGGAGATGGTGGGCGACCCATTTCAATCTAGGAAATGTTTACTTATAGTCAGTTGAACACCAATGAAGCAAATAAAATACATACATCATTGTCAAAGTATTCCTGATCGATAGACATGATGTCTTGCACCTCCGGTTGCTCTGGAATAACAACATCGTCAGGTAAGTGATTGGGGGACTCGCCACGACGAGCCCTCTTGTCCTTTCTCTTTCTCTTCTTCTCTGACTTCCGCTTCCGATCGAAAATTTGGTCAGTAAGAGAGAAACTAAGTGCGCATTGGCTTGTATGCGCTGACAGCTGCCTGCGCGAACGAAACACTGCACCACAGGCTAAGCAGCAAAGGTCATTGACCATGGATAAAATGCAGAGAAGGGGGAGGGGAGGGGACACGTCTTGATCAGTTTCAGAACTTACGAGTAGCATATTTAAACAGTCCATGATATATTGCCATAGTCCACTTTAAATGTACATTTATAATTTAACAACTGAAAGTAAGAGTCAAGCGCCAATCTCAATAGAAAATGTAAAATGGACATACCATTAACTAGAAATGTTGTGAGAATCATCGGTCAGAATCACCGAAACCTGGCAGAGTATCCTGTGAATCCATGCCGCATGACGAGTGAGATAAATCCTGCACGACACGTCAATGGGCAGGTCAATTACTAGAAACTTACTGCAATAAAATTCATTGTCTCAAGCGCAAGTTTGCGCAAATGACACGCATGACATCCACCTTAGTAGGCAGGATGATCTCGTGGTGGCAGATCTTAACCTAGAAATTTCAGTAGAGACATTTGAGTTGGATGCCTACCTGTATCTAAGTGGGATGTATAGTAGCTCGCATATAATTGAAAATGAGGGTATATGATCGACATGTGATCGAAAGTAAGGTGATATCATGATCGTTGTTTGGTTGATATCAAATTCAACCTCCGTCAGAAATTTCCGAAAATATCAAAACTTTGTTCGGTGGCTAAATTTACCAACTTTAATATTAACCAATGTCTAACGTCACTGCTGCCGACACTGCGCTAAACGTCTTCAGCGATGTCGCATTTATTGATATCCAAAATGCCATCTCCGTAGACAATACTTACTTCTTCAATCTCAATGTAGATTCTCCCAGCCTCAAGGTAATTTTCTTTTCTCATAAAAAAAATAAACTAATTTTTATTTGATAGACTATTGTTTTTCGCATCGGTGGCCAACAGCCTGCCACCATCTTCAATACAAGTAACAACTTGGCGGGTGCAGATGACTCGGCAACCAAATCCGAGCCCGAAGATGAGGGGAACGGCGATAGCGGGGATGATGTGGAGATGCAGACTGATGACGCGGAGGTCGGAACCAATGTCACGGTGGTTGAAGATGAAGTGATCGGTCCAGATTTTCAGTAAGTTGCCAGCGTTTTCAATTTAAATTTCAACTGATCTTTCTTAAGGCCTGTAATCGCATCTCTTTGTGACCTTCTTACCAGGCGCGCTGGTAACCCCAATGAAGATCCCAAAAATCCCACCGCACCCTGGAGCTACTACGTCAAGACAAAAGATGAAGAGTCGGACTTGGATGACCAGGAGGAGGAAGATGGCTCCACTGCATCAGTGTAGGTCTTCTTTTTTTTAAATTGTGCTACATGTATATCACTAGATTCAAGCTGCTCGATTGTATGTACATTACAATATTTTGCTCAATTTTATCGTGTGTTGTGTCCGATGATACATGCACTCGTTTGTCAGTATACTGCAATAAAATATTGCAGATGCACCTGTATTGAGTCTGGTATATTGGTCTGATATGTTATTAATAGTAGATACAAACAAATATCAATAACACATCGATCATATGCATGATTGCCATCTTATTTGAATCTTTCTCAGCTCTCCAACACCATGGCTCGCCGCAAATGCTCTGACTCTATTTCTTTGGCATCTTTATCTGCATCTTCGGGGTCTAGCTCTTCATCTACAAGCTCTGAAGACTCTGATGTAAGTACATGCCCCAGCACACCACCACCCACTATACCACGCAAACGTGGAAGGGACGCATCTCAATCGTCTGACAAGGGCGGACATAAGTCCAAAAAGGCCAGGTGAGTGATACTGTCAGTTGTTCGGATCAGAACTCACCTGCAGCATATAGACATAGTAGTAGCCCTGCGATGATCAATAAGAAGAATGAAAAGCCAAAAAGGTGAGAGATTTTTTATTCATCTACATTTCAGATTGACGAGATGCTAGAAGATCGCGCAATAAAGTTCTTACGCCACAGGAGCAGTGTATCCACATTGCACATTGGATCCCACGCGGCCTAGACATGTTCTGCGATCTCAAGCAGGTGATCCAGGTATGTCTACTTTTAGAGCAGGAAGAAGCAGCCGAGGACGGAGATGAAACGGAAGAAGAGCAAATTAGGGCTGCCCGGAAGAAGATTCTGGCTGACTGGTAAGTACATATGACCGCATATATGCGCACTAATATTGTTTTTAGTGATGAAATCACTCGTGCACGGTACAAGCGGACGTTCGAATACGTCACGGAACACGCCCCTTATCTTGGGACTCTGATTGGCCAGAGGAAAAAACGCGAGGAGCTCATGCAACTCATCGGCGAGGTGCGTAACTTTCCACGTGTACTGATTGCAACTCACTATCAACAGATGCAGCATATGATCAATCACACACGCTCCGAGGACGCGAGTCGCCTCAAGGCCCACATGGGCTCATACGCAGCTCCGCACCCTGATAAAGAGCTCGTCTACCCTCCAATTGCTGACGACAGCAAGAATCACGCCAAAATGGGATTCAACCACGCCCAGCTGGGCAAAATGCTTTGTCCTGCTAAGCATCTAGTCGACTACATCAAGGATCCCGCAAGGTATGTTTAATTTTCTCGAATTACTAGTACTAACAGTACTACAGGATGAAAGACAAATTCGATAGTGGGTCGTTGAAGGTAACCTCTGCTGTGTGGCCCGCCTATCTGTATCCAGGCGACATTCCAGGCAAAGATTTCGATGCTGAGGATATCATCGAAGGACTTTTCCGTGGGTATCTCTTAGAGCGGGTACGTTTTTTTAAAATAATATTGTGTAGTTCTAACCTACTATGCAGGTCGCTAAACATATATTCACTTCTCCTTCATCTGCACTGAAGGTTGGCGTCTCCAATGGAACTCGTGCTTGCAATGCGAAACTCCACAGGATGACAGGAGTGGAGGCCGAACATATTGCATATGCCGCGGTCCAGGTAAGTTTCTTTAAAATGTGCACTTGATTTAATCAGTCTCTTTTGTACAGGCTCGCTTTGCAATCAGTTCACTCGACAAATGGAAGGATAAGGACACCCTCTTTCATTACCCTGACTTCTACACTAGGATGGTAAAGTTAATTCGGGGGAGGAAAGACGGAGAGTGGGTCGATTCCCTCCTAGCACATTATAATGAGTAAGTAATTCACTGCATTATTCTATCATCTAACATGCTTGTGTGTCTAGGAAATTATTTGACAATGAAAACAGCGCCAAAGCTACTCATTCCGTGAACAGCGAGTGTTCAGACGAGGACGACATGGTTGCCATGGAACGACAACTCGCCGTGCGTGCTGCGCGGGCTTCCGGAACCTCCAATGCAACATCTGCACAGTCTTCGGCAGTCGACAAGCAACAGGAGTCGCGTCCTGAGTCCTCACCTCCTGCACCTCAAAGATCTCCCATTCCAGAGCCTCCGGTAGCCAAACCACCAGTTATTCCTTGCAAGGACAACTTGAAGCAGCCCTCACCACTGCCTCCCTCGTCTCCTCAAGAGTCAGCCGTACCTACACGCTCACCTACTCCTGATCCACCTGTCGACTCACGGAAGGACGTACCTACACACTTGCCTACTCCCGATGCACCTGTCGACTCACGGAAGGAGAAGGCCGTACCTATGCGCTTGCCTACTCCCAATCCACCTGTCAACTCAGGGAAGTGCAAACAGGCCTCCACACTCGTTGCAGCCATTGATGACGACAGCCCTCTGACAGAAGAAGAACCGGATACTATTCAGCCAGCCAAGCGCACACAACAACCCGCTGCTAAGAAACCCAAGAAGGCTCCAACTAAGCGCAAGTCGAGGAAATAGGTGAGTCGCATCAGTCACGTAGACTGCTCGATACTCATAACATCCGCTTGCTTGTATTTAGAATCACACTACTGCATTATGACCATTTTTACCAGCTCCATTCGCATTCGCATTACACTCACAGACTCGATACTACTCTACTGCTCTCATGCTCTCATGGACATGTCTCATTTTCACTTGCGGTCTTCAATGACATCACTCATATGCTCTTTTTTACGATTTCTAACTTAGTGCTCATGTCCGGACGATCAGGCCATACTGTAAGAATGATACATTAAATACCTACAATTGTAGATGAAATGGGATACAATAATCACTGAAGTCCATAGATACCTATCATTGTAGGGCTGATATATCAATGGAGGATCCTGTCAGGACACTCCCATAATAATCTCACACCCCTAATTTTCGCATTTTTGACCACCTACTGTGGGAATTTCCCCACAACACTTAAAAATAGATTGCTTCTCCACATTTTCGCATTTTTAGCCACCCCACTACACCTAAAACATCACCCATTTTGGGAATCTCCACAATATCAATTATTCCCACACCCTCCCCACCTCACTGCAGCTTCACCACCACACCACAATAGGTCCCCTCTTGTATCTAAGTAGTAGTTTGGTATATATATGTACAATATAATGTAATAGACTGCTTTTTTTGCTTATTTGTGTGCCTGCTCCTCCTCTAGAGGCCATTTAACATATGTTAGAGTAGAGAACACTTTCGCACTTTTGCCCCTTTGGTGGGAAAGTGTTCTATTATATTCAAAACATGTTTATGAGCATATATGAGTATATTCCCATCTTTATTTGACCCCCTGAAGCGCCCTACATCAATAGATATAGCACATATGCAAGAAAACACAGAATATGTTCCTATTTAATTATTTCTAGGTGGACAGACTTGGAAAATGATTCCCAGTATCTATTCAACAATATGAACAATGTATCAGGAGCCCAGGACCATGGGATAATTCCCTGTTGCATGGTGTGCCCCCCCTCTCCTGGTGGTTTACCCCCTGTGAAAAATTTTCCTGCAGGACAGGACCTTAATTGAGGTGAGGGGTCTATTTCTATGTATATTTGGAGTAGATCTATCATATAGCTGGCCCAGAACACACATAGGATCCTGCTACAAGAACAAAAACATAGAAAATCTCACTTTTGACACTTTTGATGTTTTTTAGTATCTTACTCTTGCATAAATAACCATCCCTGCTCACATATTATCAGTAGTACATTCACACATATGTTCTATGCCAAGGATCAGCTCAAAATAGGCTGGAGGTTTGAGCTAGTGTAGATACTTGCTATTTCTACTGATAAGGAGCCCATACTTTCAAAACATCGAAATTTAATAATCAGACACTTGGAGTAGATTTAAAGTACATTCACTATCATATACCTAAATTTACAAAACAATCCAACAAGAATTGAGTGCTGAGGAAGTGAAATAGATAAGAAATTGAGTGTGGGAAAGTTCAAAGACTCAAAACATCGAAAATGGTCAGTTGGGCAGCAGTAGGACTTTAATGCTGGGTCAACTCAAATATACACCACATTCCTTCCATCACCCTCTAACCTCAGGGCAGTATGTAGAATAGGTTCATTTAGTAGTCTATCATATATCCTACATATTTTCAATGAAATATTTGCCCTGTACCATATATAAATGTGACTTTGTGTCAAAAGATGTCAATTGTCACTTTTCACACATATGTCATTTTACTTGTCATTCAGTCAGTCCTTCACTGATCTTTCTAAAACTTCAAGTCCATCATTAGGGACATATATAAGAGGTATCACAGGTATCTGATCACTTATCACAGGCTGGATTACTTTGTAGGTTTCCTATCAGTAGAAATACCCCCTGTACATCAGATATCAAATTTGCGCCCTATGTAGGGCTGATCCTTGGCATAGAACATATGTGTGAATGTACTACTGATAATATGTGAGCAGGGATGGTTATTTATGCAAGAGTAAGATACTAAAAAACATCAAAAGTGTCAAAAGTGAGATTTTCTATGTTTTTGTTCTTGTAGCAGGATCCTATGTGTGTTCTGGGCCAGCTATATGATAGATCTACTCCAAATATACATAGAAATAGACCCCTCACCTCAATTAAGGTCCTGTCCTGCAGGAAAATTTTTCACAGGGGGTAAACCACCAGGAGAGGGGGGGCACACCATGCAACAGGGAATTATCCCATGGTCCTGGGCTCCTGATACATTGTTCATATTGTTGAATAGATACTGGGAATCATTTTCCAAGTCTGTCCACCTAGAAATAATTAAATAGGAACATATTCTGTGTTTTCTTGCATATGTGCTATATCTATTGATGTAGGGCGCTTCAGGGGGTCAAATAAAGATGGGAATATACTCATATATGCTCATAAACATGTTTTGAATATAATAGAACACTTTCCCACCAAAGGGGCAAAAGTGCGAAAGTGTTCTCTACTCTAACATATGTTAAATGGCCTCTAGAGGAGGAGCAGGCACACAAATAAGCAAAAAAAGCAGTCTATTACATTATATTGTACATATATATACCAAACTACTACTTAGATACAAGAGGGGACCTATTGTGGTGTGGTGGTGAAGCTGCAGTGAGGTGGGGAGGGTGTGGGAATAATTGATATTGTGGAGATTCCCAAAATGGGTGATGTTTTAGGTGTAGTGGGGTGGCTAAAAATGCGAAAATGTGGAGAAGCAATCTATTTTTAAGTGTTGTGGGGAAATTCCCACAGTAGGTGGTCAAAAATGCGAAAATTAGGGGTGTGAGATTATTATGGGAGTGTCCTGACAGGATCCTCCATTGATATATCAGCCCTACAATGATAGGTATCTATGGACTTCAGTAATTATTGTATCCCATTTCATCTACAATTGTAAGAAGTGATACATCAAACCTACAGGTACAGGTGGGACGATCGGTACGTGGTTACCACTAATAGATTACATTACATTCCACTGTACCGCATGTATTCGAATATCTCAATGATAGTGTTACAATAACATGCCGCCTTCACCCTCTTCCTGACTTACCGACACAGCGGAACACTGCCAGAAGCTTAGAGCGGCCTGGATGCCACAGGATACCTAGAGCAGTCTAGAGCTGCTATGACGTCACCCCTGGCCTAGAAGGCCTCCCAATCCCATCATGATGGCTGTCCGCCTCATGTAGAACTAGACCGACGCATGCCGCCTCATGCGCTGATGGACTCAGAGGCCGGAGCGCCTCATGTACTTATCTTGACATAGAAGAGGCGCCTCAATGCATCTTATCAGACAAGCATGGCTTGCCTCATGGATCTTATCTCTGACTAGGATAGATCCACAGATACAGACTCCTCCCGAACTATGTAGTTAGACACTATATAACATAGATACATATCATTGTATTCCTTACTTTGATATACTTGGTATTCCCTAGAACTAGTACAATCCCAGTACTTGGTTTTCCCTTGAACATCCTTTCAGAGTGACTCCCAGTCCCTCTGTCCAGACCACACTTCTAAGGCAAGCCGACGCTACCTTAGCCGTACATCCGTTAGCCCTACAGCTTGACGAGCCGCCGTGCTTACTAAGCTTGTCGGAGGATACCTCGACCTTCGATCGAGCTTAGAACCTGTCCTTCTGTCTATGCGTGACCGCTAGACGATTAGTCATTCCGACTAGAGAAGGCTCGACCTATCCAAGTCGTAACAGATAGGTGGTTATGATGGGATATCAGCGTGATTCAATGTTATAACTCAATATAAGATAATATAATCTCAGAGCCTTCTGGATTATGCCAGCAAGCATACATCAGGAAAAAACAAAAATCGTAGGAGTCCTGGTGACGCCTATATAGTACTATATAGTCACCATAGGTCTATGTACCTCACGTAGCTATAAGTCAGACTATATAGAGCTACAGTGGGCTACAGGAGGCTATGGCGTGCGCTGGTAGTAAACTGGAGTCGCAATAGCAAAATTTCAGTTCGTAGTCGATAGTAGCTGAGTAGTAACAAAATTAATTGATAGCGGACATGCAGAACGTATCAAGGTTGATAAAGGTATTTAAGTAGAAATCATTTACCAACTCGTAGACATTTGTACTGGTCCATCCGCGGTCAACAAATTGTCCCATCTTCAGAATGAGATGACATGGATGAGCGATTTCGTCGACATGTATCACCACTGCATTCCGGTGCAGTCGACAAGTTGAACGTGACACCTGGTGCAGGCCAGAGGAGGCATCTGGTATCCTAAGTGGAGTGAACCACTCGACATAAGCCAAAGCTCGGGAGTATGCCCCAAACTGACGAGGCAGAGTGAATATCACACGGACTTGTGCAACTCGTACACCTACAGCATTAATGTAAATATTCCGATGCACTGAAATAATGATCACTTACCATCTAACACCTGCAGATTTGAGGTCTGAACACTATCACTCACCAAGACCATATCAAACTTGGCAGGGGACCCAGGCTTCCGGCGAGGACCAGGAGATACTTCGGGTGTCGCTCTAATGCGCCACCGTTGTGGTGAATCACTTACACGCAGATCTGGCGGGGCAGCAATTATAACTTGTCGATAAACGTTGAAACGGTCTTGTGGACCGGGAACGATGGTATTGTGCGGCATATGCTTGTCTAGGAAAATTTTGAGGGCAGGAAGAAATGTGACTGCGCCATGCGCAGTGGCAAGCTGGTGAACAGACTGCCGAGGGTGTGCAGGAGTTTTGGCAAGAATGTGGACAATGTGTTGTCCAGCGATGGGAGGCATTAGACTTGCTTTGGCGGGAGTAGCGCTGTGAGTGCATGACCCAGATTGCAAGTCTTCTATCTCTGAATCCGAGCCTGAATCATCGCTGCACTTGTGGTCTGTGCGATTGGCCATGCTCACCGACTGATCTGACAGCCATTCGAGATAGGAACTGCATAAAAACACCGCTTCCTGGCGTTGAAGCCACAAAGTCATTTGTTCCTCATAATCACGCTTATTGCTAGCACGGTAAGCTTCTTTAGCAAAGTCGATATGCAGTCATTCAGGAAGCTCGGTGTTGAACCCGTCAGTAGTACCGAACAATGAGATGGACTGGACGTAGTGCGAGAGTTGGTGCAATTTAGGAATATTGAAATGATCTCGAACTTCGAGTTCGCGCAGGATTTCTTTGTTGGCGTGAAATACCGAAAGGGCGCTCTCCAGATGATCAAGGGTGTCAACTGTGTGTATTCGAAGCTGCGCATAATAAGAAAAATCTAGAATAGCGCGTGCAACCACCAACACTCCACTGGTAAATATTAAAAATGATTCTGTCAGTGCCGCAGAGCCTTGTTAAGCATGTTTGAAGCATACCTTGGTACTGCACCAGCAAGCAACCCTACAAAAACACGCTGCATCTGCTTGTGTTCTGTACCCGTCCATTGTTTCACCGTCGAGATTCCTTTTTTGAAGTGCCGAAGACCAGGATAATCCGGTATGGCTTTGAAGCGTGCGTCCATTTCAGCTTGACCAACGATATCAAGGCACCATTTAACCAAGTGATCTTTGAAGATGCCCTTGTGGAGTTGGTGTAGGAGGTCGGGTGTGAAGGCAAGGAAGATGTCTGTGTGTGGAAGGTCAGCCCAAAAAGGATGATAGACGGTGCGTAATCCGTAGTCTTTGAATTCAGCTGGATGTTGACCATTTTGTCGCTTCTTCAATATCTCTTTTATCAATGGAGGGTCCTGCATCGGTGTACTCAGTGGATCACCTCTTTCATCCGCCGCAACCAGACATTTTGGGCAACGGTTCTCCTTGCAACATGCAACCAGGCATTGTTTAGGGAAATACGCCACATATGCTGCAAGGATTGGGTAAACTTGGCGGATCATCGAGTCAGTGCATACCATTTCAATGCCATTTTGTCCTGCAGCAATGAGCGGTTGCAGCAGGAGGGACATACAATGGTGGAAGAGCCGGTAACCAGCAAGGGAGCGTGTATCTGATGTAAAGCATTCAAGTTTTTCTGCAGGTAAGTACCCAATCAGGACTGTCGCTCATGCTGACAGTTGTCGCCTTTTTTCTTTGGCAATGTTGCCGATTGAGAGGTATATAGGCCACGCAGATTTGTCACCTCGGAACTGTGACAAACATGTCTTGTCTGAAGCAAGAATGATAGGTGCTATGGTCGCTCCTTTCGGTAACTGTTTCTGGACGTTGTAGGTCAGTCTTTGCTTAACTTTTTGGATCACATACTCACTTGCTTTTCCCCCCACCAATCTGCAGTCCACATGTCACCAATCACTCGGTTGAGTCCCGCAGAGTCTGTGTATGCTCGTGCAGGTGCGTACACCATGTGATCCTTGAATTGAGGATTTCCGATCAGGTCTTTGATGCACTCCACAGGATCACGCATCCAAAGCTCGACATCTTCATGCAATGGTTCACCCTTCTCGTCTGTTTGGTTTCCCCGGACACTGATCTTCTTGCAGCTCCAGGCAGCTCCATGCGGAAGTTCATTGACCTTCTGGAGGAACGATCGGTTGTTGTGGAAGGATGGTTGCATTCGGTTTCGTGTCTGTCACACCAGTAAGTCCAATTCTTTCAGCGGTCAATGTGAAACTTACTATCGGCAACTTTAGAAAATCATTGGTTCAGGTCTGGCCCAGACTTTTAACAAGCCACTCTGCAAGTCCCCATTCTTCCCTGGCGACTGAAATCAATCATTTTGCAGAGGAGATGAAGACAACAGGGTACGTACTCATCGCAAAAAGGTGCCCACTCGTCCTCACCCATGCTTTTTTTATACTTCCGATAGCTCTCAAAACCAGTTTCTCCCTCCCGCAGAGTCCGTCCACCATCAGGGCATTCCTTGAAATATCGCCCACTATTTGTTCTCACAGCATCTTCATCAGCAACCTCCTCGATGGTCACCCTCCGACTTTTCAGCGCTGGTGGGTTGCCTTGATCAGCATCGGAGGACTTGGAACATGAGCGACGAAGTGGCAGGCCAAATGAGCTGCCAACATCATCGTAAGCAAAGTCCACTTGTGGGCCATCTTCATCATAGGTGGCCTCAGTTTCTTCGATCGTTAACTCCCATGCCCTTCTACATTCAGGGCGGCCAGTTATGTGTCTCTTGACACCACCCCTTGTAGGGAACTCCTTACTACAAAATACGCAGCACTGGGGCATGGTTGGTGAATGTTTCGAGTGAGTGTTTCGAGTGAGTGTTTCGATTCTGATTTGTAATGTACCTACTTAAAATAATTTTCATGCGCCCTGGCCTGGACTCAATCTAGGCACACCGAGAACGCAGTCAGTTATGGAGACTAGTCTGACTAGCTATCCATGTTGGTTTTGTTGATTGGGAGGACGATCGATGGGGTGCAGTGGACGGCTCTCCCAAGAACCCACCTGAATGCAATCGCTTATGGAGACTAGCTCCAATGGTTTTGTTGATTGGGAGGATGATCCATGGGGTGCAGTGGACGGCTCTCCCAAGAACCCACCTGAACACAATCGCTTATGGAGACTAGCTCCCAGCTCTCCCAAGAAACCACATGAACACAGTAGGTTATGGAGACTAGCTCCCGGCTCTTCCAAGAACCCACCTGAATGCAATCGCTTATGGAGACTAGCTCCGTTGTTTCACCAATATCGGTAGGCTCTCCTCATCACAAGGTTCAAGTTTATTTTCCTGGCACAACTCCATAGCATTTCTGACATGTGCTGTAAATTTTTACCAGATGACTGTACCTTCTGGTTGCCACGCTACACTAGTTTCAAAATACCATGGGCGGCCAGAAGCAATTCTAAAAGTTGCACCTGCTTCGCCTCCTCACAACGCTTCACTTCTGCATCCCAGCGCTCACTAATGAGTCTTCGCAAGCTCGCTTGTAAGAGGCTAGGAGTGCCAGTGCCTGGTACTAATTCTATTAGTTGCAATTTTTTGGCATTCTCGCAGGCCTTCACTTCTGCCTCCCAGCGCTCCAAAATGAGCTTGCGCAAGTATATTTGGGAAACCGAGATGGGGCCTGGAGTCTGATGAAATGGAGGGCGCGGGAACATGGGGCCTGTGTCAGGCTCTTCGAGCTTTGGCCTGCAGGCCACTGGTAAGTACATTGCGATAATTGGGAGGGGCAATGGGATAACTGACCTTTTGATCTCGAGTTTCCCGTCTTTACAAGCAGCGTCTTTGTGACCGGCAGATGGTGACATTGTGCTGGAGGATTTGTCAGAGTGTGGTGAGTGTTTGAAGCAAGCTTTGTACCGTTTTTTTGTAACATTGAGGGTATCCATGACAGTGAAAAAATATTGTGACGGTATGCTCAAATCTTTTTATCCTTTCTTTCATTAAACACACAGCTTTTAGCCAAACGAGCCCTGGAATCAACGAACAATCAAGGTTCAATTGTGAGTTGTTTGTATGTTTTATGGTCTTATATATTTTGCTAACGCTAATCACACCTTGTGCTCTAGCGACCATGGCACCTCATACTAAGGCTGCCTCCAAGCAGCAAAAATTTAAGCCCACCTCGTCAATGCCTGCAGCACCGCTGAATGTGCGCACTACCTCGTCAATGCCTGCAGCACCACCGAGTGTGCGCACCGCAAGCGGTTGAGAGCGTTGACCAACTGAAAAAGAATCCTACCGTTGTAAGTACTACTAAAATATTGTATTTTACTCGCTCATGATCCTCTATAGTTTCTGAATCTCAACATATTACCCGTCATCAAGAAGTCAAGGAACACAAGTCGGAAAAGCAGAAGAAAAAGGCACTGAAGGCCGCCTATCAAGACCGTCCCGACAACTTTGAGCAAGAGCCTTCGGAGCTGCATAGTGACATCGACAGGCAAGAAGATATGATGGTCTGAGCTTTTTTCTTCTTTCCTAACTTAAACGAGCTACTGACCATACTTTATTCAGTTCTCCGATCACAGCATCAAGACAAAGTTGTCAAACACTAGTGCCCTGAAGTTCAGCGCAGGCAAAATTCCCCCGAGATGGCGCCACAGCAACACCAGCGCACACATAGTGCCTACTAATACTGACCGGAACACGAAAGGAAAAAAGGGTATGTGTTTATTCTATCAATATTAGCCTGACTACCCTAATATCCCTCTGTTTGACTTTATCCAGCACCACGAAGCAACTTGAATGCGGCCAATGCCCATCTCAATGATGCTCCAGATGACACTCCTACCTTGGATGCTGATGACGATGACAGGTCTGAGTCAACCGACCTGGATGACGACAACGATGACGACAACACTGGTGAACCATTGCCAATAGCTCGGGGGACCAAGCGACAATTCAACATGTCCTTAGAAGATGTCCTGATAGTCCTGAAGGTCAAGAAAAACTCGGACGGTTCGCGTCAACGTGTCAAAGCCAGCGACTTTGACAACATCTCCAAAGAGATTCTCACAACGGCCTGCTCAAATTTTCAATGTCTGATTGTCACACAAGCCCCATTTCCTGATTCTGTCGCCGTCGAGACAAATTTGGCCAAAGAGGCCTGGCACAAGGCGTGCAAAATTAAAGATATTGATGTCAAAATAACACCTTTAGCAGTCAAAATGGTAAGCAATCTGTTCATACCACGCTCTGGGTCTGATTGATATGAAGCTCTTAAATCGCACATCACATGTGCGAGGTGAACTCAAAACCAAGATGCGCTTGCTGACTAGTTCTTTTTATGGTTTCTGGGCAAGTAATTCCATGCAGGTGATGCAACAGAACCGAGATCGGGCAGAGTCGTTGAAAGCCGATGAAGGTACAACAATTCAGATGGTGAGTCTGAACAATGTTGGGTCTTGCAGAACCTAGCTGCTATTCGACCCTAAAGGGTTTCTGGACTAGGCTCAAGGCTCAGAGGAGAGGAAATATCATGAAAAACTACTGAAGACTCAGACTCATACTGATAACTGGTGAAAAGATAACTTGCTTATGTAAGCTACAAAGGTGCCAACATAAGGTAAGGTAAAAACAGTCTCTACAAGCCCAGCCAGAAATGAATCCCTACACCGATTCAGCCTTTATATTCAAGGTATGCAGATGACAATCTATATTACTGTGTGCTGACATTGGATAATAGGACTGGTCATCAAAGAAGGGAGTCTACAAAACCGAATTGCTCCAAGAGGGCATCAACCTCATGTGGTTCTCAAATCGGAACGACGAGGGCCTCATCCACCATAAGTACTTCAATCCCTTTCCTGTTAGAGCTCTCGCACTCGTGCTTACAGCGGTGAGCTTATTTTGTATTCAAGTTCTTACAAGGGCGCTAACAATGTCTTATTCATAGATCGAATGTTGTATCGACGAGTGGCTGCCAGGCATCAAAGAAGACATCAAGTTCACATCCGCTACGTATGGAGCTGTCTACAATAATCATTTGGGCTCACTGCTGCGCTTTGATGAGCGCACTGCACCTTACAAACTTCTCGAGAGAATCTGTACCAATCTGCATGATGTAGGCCGGTATGTTTTGACTTACTATTACTCTAGTATTCTAACATTCATGCTTCGAAGTTTTCATGCAGGTGTTGAATCACTCGGTCTGTCATCGGCTAGTACTACATCCCGGGTCCACACTGAGAACAAGGCCTTTGAAGATGCCATTCGAGAGTACCAGCTGGAGGAGCAGGATGACGCAGAGGCTCCGAGTCGTAGCCAGAGTGGTGAGCTTATAGATGTGGATGAAGAGGAGGAGGATCTGGAGGCCTATAGCGAGAGTGGCATGTTTATAGGTGCGGATGAAGAGGATTGAGTAGGACATTTATACTATACTATCTCGTGTGTTGGGTACCCGAATTCAGACGCTATTGGTTTTTTTTGCATGCAATTTAGCTGCTGGTTGCTGCGCACTCCGACAAACTATGGGTTCTTTTGCGTGCTATATAGCTGTGGGTAGTTGCATGTAGTAGCACTCCTACGAACTACAGACTTTAGTGCTGCCGTGGTTCGGTTCGGTCCGGTTCAGAGGGTCTTCAACAAGAACCGAGAACCGGACCATTGAGAACCGTTCTCAATGGTCCGGTTCGGTTTTTTTTGTGGTCCGAACTCGAACCGAACCGTAAATTTTTCTATAGGTACAGCAAAAAATAATTGACAAAATACTAGCTACACATTGAGTAACTAGTCTAATAAAATTTGTGCGTACCCCTCTGCCTCTGTAGCTGCCGAAAGATGTCCATTACAGTAAGCGGCCTTCATTAGCTGTAGAGCAGAGAAGGTGGATGATGCGAGCGCATTGCGGCGCAAGGTTGATGTGATTCCCCGATGTAATGGCCAGTGACGGAAAAGAAAGGATCCCCGATGATAGATGTCCATGAGTCGAACGTCATGGACACCGCACTGTCGACATGCTACCAAAACTGCATCAATAATAGTTAATAATGTGAATAGAATAAACTTACAGCAAGGCGCTCCTTGATCTTTTCGACGATAGTAATTGCGCGAGACTTGATGGTATCAGTGAGTTTGGTGCGGTGCGGGATATCTTTCTCAGATAGAGTTGAACGGGTGTACAACAGCAAACGTCGGAAAGCCGGTTTATCAACCAACTGGATTGCCTGCCATAATGTCATTAAACAGCAACGCAAATAACAAAATTAAAAAACGCACCTCGTCTTCTGTCACGATAAGCTCCATTATGTACTCCAATAACCCTTCCTTTGTGAATACAGCAGGTTTTGAAACAAGATTGCGATCGAGAGTTTGTTGCGTTGTGGTGAGGTCTTCGCCAGGTGGGATTGCGCGGGAATGCATGGTGATGCCCGCAGCATCGCAACGTGCCTTGTACACTTGAAAATGGGTGCGTCTGTGGCGAACAATGTGCGTTCGTAGTGTTGAGGTGCCTCCGCGAAACGTATGCTTGTGTGCTGGTTCACCGGTGTCCCTTATCCAAAATCAAAATTGAATTTAAATTAAAAACAAATGAAAACTTACTTGCACAGCGTACAGACCCATCCCTCAGGGATACGAGTGAATATAGTCCGGATGTCTGCTGTACGATTGCTTTTTGAGACCTAAATGCAAGTGTCAGTGAAGGAAGACAATGATGAAGATACGACGTACAGTTTGACTCGCAGTTTGACTCTCAGCCTCGTCATCATCATCATCAAGCTGGGGGATCAGCTCATCAGAGGGTGATTCTCCTGGATCAGGAGCAGCCGAAGGGAGATCTTCATCAGCCGTATCTTCGTCATCAGAGTCCAAAGGTGATATGAATCGCATAGCGACTTTTTTAGACACTGGGTGCTCTGTAGCACTAGATGATGCGCGTGCACGCTTCCTTGTGCCTGAGGATGAAGCAACATTGTCAGCATCACGGATACGAGCTGAGGGCTTGGAAGGGCAGCCAGAGCGCCGAGAGCCTGCAGTGACGGTTGCTGGCGTATGTCCGGTCTTGAGTAGAACTGAGAAGGCGTTTTTCTTGGGTTCCGTTGAGGGCACATTGTCGTCAGGGTCGTTTGATGGGACTGGTGGCAAGGGCACATCGTCGTCAGGATCGTTGTAGAACGTGATCTTGGATGCATCCTTGAGGGTGCCATCAGTATTGAGAGCGCAGGAGTCTGACATTTTCAGGGAGACAACTCACAGTTTCGTCGTCACGACCTTGTTTTGTACACAGGGCAGGGAGAAGACATCTGCGCACCACAGAATACTGGTCTCCTAGGAGATCAGTCACAGCAAAAAGCTTGTGGAGGATCATACATCAGGTAACCGACCCAAAAAAGATAAGTTCTTAGCAAGCTTTATCTAATCCAAAATCTGCATAATACCTATCAGAATTATACCCCACATGACAAAGCTTTGAATACCCGGACTTAGTTGGACAGAACCCGCCAAATGTACAATTGTGAGTCTAGTTGCAATCACCTACCAGCCTATTGCCGAGATGATACATGTTGCAACACCCACCCACCATTGCAAAGCAAGATTAAGTTGTCGAGAGCGACCACCGTCGCCTTTTTGAGGACCAGCAACAATGACACTACAACTCTGCCCTTCACCGGTGATGGTATGTAGCTTTTGATTGTTTTTATTTTCTCCATCATCTCTCAACAAATTTCAGTGTTAGACAAAGTTTTAGATGGCCGGACTGTGTTGGACCAACACTGCCGACGGCCCATGGGCGGTGAGCATCTACAATGTATTGCCAAGCTCCCTCGATCCAGCTTGTAATTGCACCCCCAGCAAAATCTCTCTCGTCGCTGATGTTAGATATGTAATTGTGATGCTAGTTTGTGTTGCTCAGATCTACTAACTACACAATTCAGGCAATGAGTAGTGATGCATTGACATTCTACCAAATTTCGATAAGATGCAATGGCCATTTATATTGTCATTTTATGCTCCGCATACTCTCTCTAAATGCTGGAGCCTTCCAAGGCCAGATTGCTTTGGCTGGGGGTTACTTTTGTCCCACGGTGCGGAGGCTTGACAACAGTGTAGTGCCTTCATCAGCTGATTGCTGAGGCATAGTCCTCCCATGTAACGTGAGAGAACCAATGTGCTTTCCGCAAACTCTCCCAGGATGACGTCGCCAGATAGAGTCATTGAACCAAAGGCTGCATTGTGCCAAAGGCGCCAGGACGCTGATACCGGTAACCATCAGCATGCAGCCAAAATATAGCTATAGCATGCAATCTTGGCTTTCTCAGATCTTATCCTGCAGAGCGTGCTTGAATACTGCAAAGAAGACAGATGCGGCATGCAATGGCAATGGCTACTATTTTCCAGCAGTATTACATATTCGTTCTCATCCGATCGCTTCAATGGTTTACAGAGGCCACAGCAGGTCATCATTAGGTAACATTGTACTAAGATTGTATACATGTAAACTACGAAGGGACGTTTGTAGCCTGTTTGAGGGCAACACGCTTTTGTCGGATCTTGAATAAGGCGCTGTTGACACTGATAGCCCTCTTGGCAGCAAAGGAGGTGGGAAAAACTTGACTGAGCAACGTATTAGCATTGTAACTACATAGTGAAGGGTGATAGAAATACCGATTCCACCAGGTCAATAGCTCATCAACTTCCTTGGATTCCTCGGGGTCTTCTAACAGATCGAGGAAACTATGATAAAACGTTTCTGAGTCTGTTGTTGTGTCGGTCCGCGAAAACACTGAGGATGAGCTCAAAGCGAATCGCACCTTCAGCTGTACATTAGAAACTCTCCGTTACAAAAGGATACTTCACAAACCTGAGTTGCGATGTATGCAATAGAAGCGATGGTGACGGATTTCATCCCGTGGAGACGAGTGTTTCCGGATCGTGTAGCTTTCGGCTCTCTGTCAACTGAACTCGGAGAGGTGAAAACATGCTTGTAGGCCTGATAGAATACCATACAGTGAATGGACTCTATGAATACGAGTGCATACTCACACATACTAGTAAGCGGCTTCTGAGAAGGCCGTACCACGGGTCTTCAGGGTCATAAATGTGGTGGGCATACAAGAAAATGGGCCATTGATCCCCACAGACCAGTATTTCACCACTTCGCAGGTTCTCCTTCATCCTGTTTACAAAGAGCAAAAGGAATCAGATTTTTTATGTTAGCTCAAACTGAAACATACTGGGGGTCGTTCCAGTCCAGCCCAGCAGGACAGAGGAGAGATCCAGTAAGTGGATGGTTGAAGCCGCGGTCAATTTTGGAGTTACGATGTAAAGGAGGCTGTATTGCTTCACCCTTCGGGGTCATCCAATCGAGTACCGCAGACTTGAGTGTTTTTGTGTCGTCGCCTCTGGCACCCGCCGCTCCCCTACCAATCTGTAAATCATAAGTAAGAACTGCATGGCCAGATAAAAATGTACCAGCTCTCCAACGTGAATGATTTCCTCCTCAGACCCATCCTTCAGTCGCTCCAGAAGGCCGGGATAGGAGTCCAACAGCTGCTCAAAGACGCGATGTTCCCGCCGCTCTCTGCCAAGCGCATCAGCAAACAAGTAAGTGGGAGAGATGAACGTCCTTGACTCAGCAGGGAAATCCTCTAATGGGGTGTCTTCCATTTGCTCCAATCTCAGGATACCATTGGTGAGCAAGGAAGGGTAATTACAAAGCGCGAATACCGTTCGACCAAAGTGGCGTCCATGGGAGACAAGCGGATCCGACGAGGAGCTGAGAGGTAAAATGAGTCTACAAAACCTGTGGTTGACATAGGGACATCTTACGCCTTTTTTCGAGGCCCCATTTGAAGAGCTGATGAGCCACATTTGCTCGGAATGCTGGGGGTGGCCTCCTGGGTAGCCATGATAGTTGGGGAGGAAGAATAGACAACCCGGGCTTCACCGGTACTGAATGTTTTTATCCCTAGCACTGCGCTACGTAATGTTTGGGGGAAACTGGCGCTAAGGGGCCGCCGTAAATGGCAGCAATGACCCAGAGAAGAATTGGCCAAGGTAGCCAGGGTGAATCTGACCCAGTCTACTGACGGAGTGCCGTGAGGTATCAACCTTATACCAAGATGGTCAGCCTGAAAACTAATAGCTAAGCAAAAGCGTGGCTGGTATATGGCTCTTTCGAACTTACACCTCATTGCATCTCACAACTAGAAAGCAGCATCCGCTATGCCCACTATACTGCAGCCCTGACGTCAAACCTATAACATCCGAGGGGGACTGGCGGAAAGTGGACACTTGGCCCAGAAAAAAATTGGCCAAGATGGCTAGGATGGTTCCAGCCCAACCCGTCGATTTTGTACCTCAATGTATCAACCTTGTGCCAAGATGGTTAGCCTGAAATCTCATGGGTAAGTAAAAGCATGGCAGGAATATAACACCCTTGAACTTGCATCCTGCATCCTGCAACTACAACAAGACAGCGCATCCACCCAGCCCAATATGCCACAGCCCTGGCGTCAGACCGCACTGCAAAGACATATTATCAACTTGAACCTGCGGTAAATCTGATGCGCCTACCTGGCGGCAGTATGTGCTGATGCCTTTGCCTAGGATAGAATTGGTGGACAACACTAATGAAAGCGGCGAGGAAATTGCCAGCGTAAAGGTTGCCAACACTATCAATGATTCTCAGAGCCCACCGAAGACTAGCAAGGCAAACTTTGATGACAGCGGTCCCTCAGTACAGAATGACGAGGCTCCGCCTCTGGCAGTGAGAGAATATGAAAATGGCGAGGTGGACTCCATGGTGAAGCTCAAAGAGAGACTGCAGCTTGCGGAGAAGAACTGCTCGAGGTTGGAAGAGCTGCGTCAAAAGTACAGACTTCGTTGGTTGGAGGAAAATTATCGAGCAAGAGTATTGGAAGAATACGCACCAAATGGAATTAACACCTGCCCTCCCCACCAGATTGCATGGGATGCTCCCTCTCCCGTTCAAAGTATGCCGGATGCGCGTTCCCTTGAAATTAACTGACTGCACTGCCCAGGTGAATACAACCTCGAAGTTGAGGACGAAAGGTAAATGCAGAAGGCATATCACAGTATTCAAGTTGTGCTGCTGCACAAAATTGTGGTTTATAGGATCGGAGGATGCGGGAACACCGGTGGATTATTTAGATGTGAGAAATGACGCAAGCATTTCTCTTTGGGTCAGCACTTGGCCAGGTCCCAGGATGGTACTTTCAGCTCGTGTAGCCAAAGGATCACATGATTATGTATCAGACAAATATTGAAGTAGCATTGCACTTGCACTTAGAATTCAATATTCAATATTTAAGGTAAGCTACCCATCCCAGCATGCTGATGACGTAAAGGGCTAACCGCGTTGCAATTGAGGCCGGCGTGCTAGCCAGTCTACGGCGTGCCCTGCTCGAAACCTTCCTGTAGGTATAACGCTTGTACGTGTCCAGTTTAACCTATTGTCAAGCAGTCCGTAACGTGGTATCTCCTTACAGGTTCTGATGTTGTCTTCTCCACTCCTCCTTTCCATGGTAGTAGGATTCCCAAACATTCAACTTTTATTGATGCTTACTAGCTACCTTCTAGGAACCCTAACTCGCTATCACTTGCACCCTGCTGAGTGGCTACACCGTTTGCCTGATTCCCTTTCCTTTGAAGAAGGTTCTCTTTGCGAGCCTCTGGCCGTAGCTCTCGCAGGCATCGAGCATGCTGGTCTCTGCCTTGGTGACCCCACTTTGATCTGGTGTGTTTGCATTAGGGATTTCATGTTATGATTTGTAATTGATTGGCATTCAGTGGCGCTGGACCGATTGGTCTCGTTTCTCTTCTTTTGGCACGTGCTGCAGGCGCCAAGCCCATTGTAATCACCAATCTGTTCCAGAGCCGCCTCGACTTTGCAAAGAAGCTCGTTACTGGTGTGCGTACGGTACTGATCGAGCGTGGTTTGATGCCAAAGGACACGACCCAAAAGATCAAAGCTGCCGCTAATGGCCCTGTGAAGGTTGCGATTGAGTGCAGCGGTGATGTAAGAAACGCTGGAGTTGTCTATGCCGTCAAGAGTCTCCGCTTATGCTGCATGGTACCCAGGTAACGCAATTTGGTGGAAAGGTGTTCATCATTGGTGTCGGCAAGAACGAACAAGTGGTATGTAAAAGCCCAAAATTTTGTCACACTCAATTTGCCATACTTTCAGTTCCCGTTCATGCACCTGAGTGTGGCATGGGGATACGGCACACTGAGTGCTAGAAATCTATGAGATTAAGTGTATAAACAAATGACACTCGTACCTTGGCTCACTGAGGCCGACATCCTGGTCTTCAATCTTGACACCAATGACTTCCTCCTGGACACTCATACGTTCCTCCAATATTGCAGAGCCGCTTGCAGCCGGGTCTTTGATCCGAAAAACCACTCGCTACAAATAAGATTAGCACAAGCATCAGCAAACGGAATTCAGACTAACGTACCTTTGGTCCCGGAGATTCAATGTCTAGGGCGAAACAATAAGTGTCCCATGCTGACTCTACGCCATTGATCTCAATGAATATAACATCCTGGAGCATCTTGACGTTTGTTAGAACGGCCGAGGAAGACATTTGCCAGTGGTGAGTTCACTGCCAGCAGTGGGAAATTTTCTTGGTCCAAATACTTCGGCTTTTGAGTACTGAAAGCTGGTTTGTGAGTGTCATGGCACGGGCGCGTGAGGCTTACCTTGCGAAAACCATTGAACAGGTGGCGTGCACAAGAGCTCAGAGGATTGAGATTGAGATTGAGATTGAGAAAAAAACAAAGGCACAGTGCGTAATTTATCTTGTTGAATTATTTGGCTTTCATTGGCGTATATGAGGGCTACATGTCCTACGAGGTGTATATAGGATGGCACGGTCTATGTAGGTGGCTGTGGGTAGCACGTGCCTACATGAATTTTGCATTTTCCTGATGCGAAACCACCATACAACGATGAAGAACCAGAATACAAGGACGAGAGATAGAATGTACCATAACCATTGACAACCCTGCCGCTGTACCATGTCATTCATACGATGGAATGTGCCAGCTAGGATGCCTGAGGTCTCCGTGAATGCGTCATTCTACAGAGTGCATGATAAGTTGGGAGCCGCTGATGAGTAGAACAACAGCATGCACATATCATCTGACTGAGTTGTACAGTCGATTCTCGGGCCTTGTTTCCAATGCCAATGGTGATCTTCGTATGAAAACGATGAGTTTGATGGGTGGGCGAGACGGGAAGCACCACTTACATCCTTGAGCAGCTTCACCTTAGCTGCCAGGCCTTCCAACGCCTCGTCATTCTGACCTTCCAAGTCGTCCACATAGCGGTGGAGAGATGGCCCTGGGTTCGGGCTACTATACGGTGAGGAGCATCCCGAAGCTGGAGGTATCACACCCAGGAGAGCTGAACAGTCTCGTAGCGCTGCACTTGTTGCTCTGTACACTCATCGTCATTCTGTTGGGTGCGGTAGTGACGAAGTCGGGGACTAGCGCTTCCCAGCGTCGCTATGATTGAGTATAGCAAATTGAGAAATTGAGATACCAGCCTAATTTTTTGAAGTATCCTCAAAGCCGGTCACGACACATCATTCTATTAAAGCCACACTACTTTACACGGTCAATACAATAATCGGTACAAAGATAGAATAAGTCATGGCGGCCAGTGCCCTCACAAGGGCTAAATATAAATAAATGCAGTTTCACGCGGAAAGAATAATCCAGACAATTGGCACTACCAAACTCTCCAGTCATTCATGCCATCGTCATCGTCAATGTTCTCGTCATAATGGCTTACATTCCTGGGAAGTATATGTCGTGGGATGATTTGATCCCAGGATGTTTGTGAACCTGCAATATCATCAGTGGTGGAGGATGGTACGACCTGTTTTTGCTCACTGCGGTCACAGTTAAATGCGTGTGTATTTTCAATGGCTAATGTATATAGCTCTATCTCAGCGTGGGCGCGATGCCTCTTGGCTTGCAGGATGAGTAGGTCCAGCCCAAGATTGCGTAAATAGGCGTTGCTACGCCTCGTAACAAGAGATTTCGTCATCAGGTCTGACTGCATGTCCAGCTCAGTTTGGAATGCCTTGAAAAAGGTATCTTGGACGTCAGCGGTGATCCATGTACTGAGCAGGAGTGATGGAGGGCCAATATGCTATAGAAAGAGACAGTTGAGCATGGCTTAACAGAAAGATACATTACTGACGTGCAAGTTATTGGACATCGTTCGTCTGTCCCACGTGGCGGGAGGCGGACCGAGGACCGAAGGGGTGGAGCCTTCCAAAGGCGAGGAATCTCTGATTGAAGGCTCCGCAGCTGGTTTGAGGTGCGCGCCGTTTCTCGTTAGCCAAGCTTTATACATCTCTTGCGTAGCAATCCAGCAGGCCAAAGGTGCGCAGGGTAATGGTGCACAGGGTAAATGTGCAGTTGCATGCTTTAAGGTTGCTGAGGGGGTCCTGATATTGTGCTTGGATAGAACTCCAATATATGCTACAGAAGGAGGATTCAGATCGTATCTCATCTGAAGATAAATTAAACTTACGCATTCGGAGTTGTTCCAAGTTTTCGATAGCCTGGGAGTACAAAGACACCTCCATTTGACACCGTTTCCTCCTCTCTTCCATGAGAAATCGCTCTACAGTCACATGCCTTCCCTCATTCACACCCCCACAGATGATCTGGTGTCGGCGTAAGCTTTCCTCCTGCTTCGCCTCTATACTGCGCTCCCCAATCAGTTCCCAAAGATCGCCAGTATAAACTCGATCTTTGAGCAAGTAGGCCAGAATGTATAGTTCAGTTTGGAGCTACGGAAAGAATAAAAATCAGTATATGCATATTATCATGATCGACTGACCTTCTGATTTGCTATGAGTCCCATGTAGGCATCGATGAATTGAGTGCCCAATAAGTTAGATAGTTCAAAAGTGCTTGCACGGGCAGTGGAGTAGTCAAACAGCTCTGGTGAAAGACAGGCCGACATGATGCATGCCCCTAACTGCTGGTAGTAGGGAAGGCGTACAAGCAGGTGCGTGAATCAACACTGGCTTATTTATACTAGTAAGTGACGGGTGAGTGGATGGTGAGAATCTCGAAGAATCCTGGGAATCTTCAAGTAGCTATGTAGTGTATGTAGTGTATGCTCCTACCTGTGAGAACAAATAATGATCTGGCCATCACGATTTGATTTGGTGGTACAAAAAGGCGTCTAGCTGCCTCCAAGTGCTACTGGCCATGCCTCATGCAGCATTTCGCCATCTTGAAGCAGCACTATTAATACTTAGATAAAATAAAATATATATATATTTACTATGATTGTTGTTATTGTACATTGTAAACACAAGTTGTCAGGAACAAATCAAACACGTACGACCCAGGACTTGTTATATTAAACACACCAGCATCATTTCACGATCACACAAGTATTTGCATCCATCAAGTCAAGCAATAATATGACGATGATGGTCCTTCTGCACCCCTTTTGAATGGCAGACATGGCGGTTCCTGACTCCTACTCGCAAGCATTTCTTGCAGCGTTTAAACAAAGCACGGAACTCCTTCTCCGTGATCCCGTCACCGTCAAAAGAGTCAAGTCTGGTTAACAACTCTGTTTGCTCCCTGCGATTCCACTTGAGTTTAACTGGTAAGACAACCCGCCGTTCTTTGTCGTTCAGTTAATGAAGCTGTAGTATTTCAGTAAATTAAGCTCCTACCTCTTTGAGGGTACTGGAAGGTGGCCAGAGACGATAGCTGGAAGTGCATATCAATTTTCACTGTATTATGATTGTGAGTTTAGGATCTCCTTGAGCACGAAGAGTGCTAACCTTTGTATCCGCATCTATCTGATGCACATCTTGTAGTCCAGTCAATCCTACTTGCACTCATATCCCACCAAGGATACACCGCTGCTTCTACATACGCCTCTCTTCCACCATCGTCAGCACAGAGGCAGCATGGGTATTTAAATTCATATCCATTTCGGTGTGTTTCTAGACTGGATGGCGGAATCTTATTTCCATCATGGTCGACTGGCCTGCATTATATGCAAGCAGCGTCATGGCCCAGAATTTGCACAGGATGCAAGCAACATCTTACCAACACCATTCGATCATGGATTTGGAGAAGCTGTCATAATGTAGGATGGCAAAACGGCAAGTCATAGCTTCTGAAATAAGTTTACCTAACCTCTGATAGGTTTCATGATGATTCGGAGGGGCAGTGATGATAGAGGAGGGCGAGGACGGGGCTTCCATTGAGTAGTCCAGTGCGGCAGGGATGTGCGTTCTATTGGGATTATATATGAGGCCACTACCTTGAACCGTGTCTGGCCTGGCCAGTCTTCCCTGCCGTCATTATGTCCGCCAGGCCAGAAGTTCTGGGCTGTGGGAATATGGCGCAGTGATGGCGATTTTCGTAATCATGCTAGCCGTCTTTAGCGCCAACCAGTATAATAAATTCAGAATCAAACGCAGTCGTCCTTTCAACTTCTCATGGACCTGGAAGATTTATCGCTGACTTTACCTCCTTTCAGATGCAGCTGTACACGCCAGTTCACGCAGGAGAGCGCCTACACCAAACATCAATGTTCATGCGTGAAGGGTAAGAAGCGGCTGTTTTCTGCTTTATCTAAAGCAAAAGACCTGTTAGGTTCTGCAAAACGGTCCAGAGTGGATGGCAGTGGCAGACCGTATGCGCACCTTAGCAAGATGCAGCCCCCCGTTCATGTGACCAATCTCCATCCGCTGGCCAGGTTATTGCAGAGCCTTCAAGCACCAGCTCAACCCTGTTGGCAATGTGCCCCGCAAAGGAGGTTTCGTGTGCAGGCCTTTGGTTGCAAGAAAATGCACCTGCCTCGGCATCCAAATCTGATCTTGGTGCCATACTTATGGAGGTGGACAACGATGAGAACCTATCGCTGGCGCAGAGAAGGGGCAGGCGTGTTGATGTTCCCATGCCGCAACGTTATAGGCAGTATGAAGACGTACTTCCAGAAGCCCCCCCAAGTGTTCCGTCCGATCATACCATCCCAGTACCAGATCCCAACCTACCAGGAGATCACACTGACACATCCACTGGCACTAATACATTGCTTCGATCCCCTCCCTTCCGTACAGTTTGCAATGTCTTTGGACTGGTACGCCAGTTCTTCTCATCCGTCCCCCCACATCACGACCCCGAAGAGGCGGTGACGCTCCACGATATCAGCTCTGTTCCAGCTTTCACCTCCGATCCCCCAATCACAGATAATGCATTTTACCCTTATCCCAATAAATCTTCTTTTGAGCTTGGCAACTGGTACTGGAATGGCGGCGTGCAGAAGTCGCAGGAGGGTTTCAAGGAGCTGGTTGGTATTGTCGGACACCCGAATTTTGACCCTGATGACGTGCGGAGCACGCCATGGGGTAGGATCAACTCAAAGTTGGGTGCGAGTGGTAATGACGAGGGGGATGAATGGGAGGATGAAAATGCTGGCTGGTGTAAAGCACCGGTGACCATTGAAGTACCCTTCTCTCGGACGACTGCCCAACCAGGCGCTCGAACTTATGTGGCAGCGGAACTGTACTATAGGCCTCTCATTTCCGTCATCCGGGAAAAGCTCTCGAATCCTCAGGACAATGAGTTTTTTCACTATGAACCTTACCAACTCAAATGGAACGCCCCGCATCTTCCCCATGAAGTTAACATTCACAGTGAATTGTATACTTTGCCAGCATTTATGGATGCGCACCGTGAACTCCAGGAGTCTCCTGGAGAGGCTGGATGTAAGTTAGAGCGTGTGGTCGTTGCGCTCATGTTTTGGTCAGATGCCATGCAGCTAACAACATTTGGCAACGCGAGGCTATGGCCAGTATATATGTACTTCGGGAATGAATCAAAGTATCGCCGTTGTAGACCATCGTGCAATCTAGGTAATCATGTTGCCTACTTTCAAAAGGTACGTTAGTCCTTACGAATCCCACTCAGCATTGAAGTTCATGCATTTGCAGCTTTCGGACTCGTTTAAGGATTTTACGGGCACCTACACTAACGGCAAAGGGGTTGGCCGTGACTGCACAACACATTGCCAGCGCGAATTATTCCAGGCTCAGTGGAACGTCTTACTTGACGATCAGTTTCTAGAGGCCTGCAAGCATGGAATTGTGATTCTCTGCTGCGATGGTGTCGAACGCAGGTTTTACCCACGAGTGTTTACTTACTCTGCAGACTATCCTGAGAAGTGAGTCATGGGCGTTATCTGTTAGAAGTTGAAGCTCATCAAAGGCAGGGTTCTTATTGCAACAATTCGGCAGATGGGAAGCTGTCCCTGCCCGCGATGTCTCATACCGACTACACGGCTTCAAAATCTTGGAATGAGCCGTGATAGGCAGCAACGTTTAACGCTGGTATGGTCCAATACATCAAGGAGTCATCTGGTGACCACCGCACGCAGCCTCATCTACGAGAAGAACCTTGGTGTGGACAGTGCAGCCGTCGGGTCGCTTCTCAAGCCAGACTCCTGGGTACCAACCTCGGTGAGCATGATCCATGTAATCAGTCTTACCTGCCGCCTTTACTGACTATTAATTAGAATGTTTTATCCGATGGCCTTAGTGCCTTTGGATTCAATTTGTTTGCCGCACTCGTCGTCGACCTCTTGCACGAGGTCGAACTTGGGGTTTGGCGCATGCTTTTACTTCACTTGCTGAGAATCCTTTTCGCCTTGAATAAGGACTTAATACACGAGCTTGATAAAAGGTGCAGCATATGTATTCGCTGAATGCCCAGTATACTCACCCTCACCTGACAGATACAGGCAGGTCCCCCCATTTGGACCTGCGACCATCAGACGATTTTCAGCGAACACCTCCGAAATGTCACATATGGCTGCACGGAATTTTGAAGATCTTTTACAGGTATGTCTTGGGATGATTCCCATAGATCCTTGTGTACTCACTTTTTACAAGTGCTCTATCCCAGTCTTCGAGGGCCTTCTCCCCGAACCTCACAACAAGATCGTTATCGATCTCCTGTTCATTCTGGCACACTGGCATGGACTTGCCAAGCTTCGCATGCACTCCGACCTGACCCTAGACATCCTCGACCAGCAAACAACTGAACTTGGTGAGCATCTTCGTCACTTTAAGGCGAAAGTGTGCACTGCATACGCCACCCATGAACTTGATCGTGAAGCCAATGCGAGGTCTCGTTGGCAAGCAAAAGAAGCCGCTAAATGCACGGAGAAAGGCAGGGCGAAAGGTAGTGGGGCTGCAGTTCCGGGGCCTATGGCAGGTGCCAGCCTTAAAGGGAAGCAGAAGGCAACGCCAGAGCAATCACAGGACGCACCTTTACCAAGGCAGCCCAAGAAGAAGAAGTCATTCAACCTTCGGACCTACAAGCTTCATGCGCTAGGGGATTATGTAGCTTCCATCTGTCACTTTGGTACCACAGATTCCTACAGCACGGAGCCAGTAAGTATCAACCCTCTCACTGCTCGCTTTCCAACTCAACTGCCATCAGGGGGAATTGGAACATCGTACACCGAAGGGCAGGTACCGTCGAACCGATCGAAAGACCTTCATTCACCAGCTGACGCAGATTGAGCGTCGTCAAGCAAGATTACGCCGCATCAAGCAACGGCAGTATAAACAGGCTTCTCATACAGCATCTAATGAAACTGCGTGCGATCCCCAGCTCCATCATCACATCGGTCAAAGTGAGAAGGTCTATGATGAAATTGGTCATTATCTCCGCAGTCATGTGAGAGATCCTGCTATAAAGGTAGTTGACTTGACTCTCTCGTGGATAGCCATCATCCTGACGTATGGCTTAGGATTTCCTGCCTCGATTGAAGGACCATATTCTTGATCGCCTTGACCCAGGGACTTCTGGGACTTCTGAATCTTTGTGCGAGAAACCCACCCGTTCTAATGCAGAATATAGTTCAATTCTCTTCAAACGGAACAGAATCTACCATCATAATCTCGCCAAGTTCAATTATACCACATACGACGTTCGACGGGCTCAGGACGTCGTTAATCCGAAGACTGCTCACTGCAATATCATGCTGCTCCAGCGTGGTTGCAATGATGCTCTCAATGGCAACTACTGTTATGCCAGGGTTCTTGGCATTCATCACGTCAATGTGGTTCGTACAGGGAATGTGTACAATGCCCACCGAATTGAATTTCTTTTTGTTCATTGGTATGAAACCGTACAAAGCCATGCTTGGCACACCCACACTTTGGGCCGGGTTCGTTTTCTACCTCTGGAAAATCCAAACGCATTCGGTTTCGTGGATCCAGGAGACGTTCTTCGAGCGTGTCACATTATCCCAGCCTTCTCTCGATGCCAACACAATCAGAGTAATAGTATTTCCCCTCTTGCCGGAGATAAACACGATTGGCATGAATATTATGTCAACAGGTGAGCTACTATATATTTTTGCTATCTTTACTGATACCATAACTCTAATAGTTTCGTCAATCGCAATACCCTCATGCGGTTCCATCACGGCCTTGGCGTAGGCCACTTGTATTCCCATAGGGCGGGGGTCTTTGACGTGGAATCACACTCTGTCAGTCAGACATCTACCCTGACCGAAGATGAACCTGTGGAAAATATCGCGGAAGTCAATCAATGTCCAGTTGACGAAGAGGACGAAGAGGATGAAGATTATGTTGGTGCGGAGGAGCTGATACTGTTTGAGCAGGGACGAAATGAAAGCATGGAGACAGTGATAGACGCATTGGAAGAAATTCATGCAGATCACATATTCAATTATGAGAACTAAATCACAGCAATCTACCTAGCATCCTGGGAAAGGCCATTTTCCGCTGATTCTTGGTTATTTCAAAGTCTTGGTCATCACTGATAAGTCCTGGCCATCAATGCTAATTTCTGGCCATTGCTGCTAACTCCTGGCGCGTGTGAATTTATGAACCTCGCCAGCCCATGCTAACTCCTGGCGCTCTTGTATATGAATCTCGCCAGCCCATGCTAACTCCTGGCCATCGCTCACTCGAGTCATCAATACATCACTATCAACTCCTGGCGCTCGTGTATATGAATCTCGCCAGCCCATGCTAACTCCTGGCCATCACTAATTCTTGGCCCTCATTAATATTCGAACTTGGCCGATTCATGCTAACTGCTATGATTCATAAGCTAGCCTCTCAATATATAATCATTCGCGGCTACTTTTGCGATACCTCAAGCGACTCCTGACCAGCACCGTCTGAACCTATTCTGCCTCTACCACACGAAGTTAGACATGCACCCTACATATCTGTATGTCCCCGAGTGCAAGGAGGTCCTCCGGCTGGTCCAACTTGCGGTATGTGAACTGTCTATGCTGAATACTGCCACTGATGGTCTCCCTCTAGCACGAGGAGGTTTGACACCATCTTTCAGCAATTGTATCAGTTCATAACTGGTAATTTCAGCACCCGTTTTCAGGGTTCTCGGGCAAATCTTTCAACACCATTGGGTATTTGGCTATCCACAAAGACATATACCCGATATACGTAAGGCTCCATCTTTGAAACTGTTCATTTCACGTTGCTATTTCGTAGGTGGACGAAACCTACAGGAAGGTCAAGCCATGGCTGGCGGTAATAAAAAATATAGGGACCCTGGGTATCACCGACAGTGTGGACATCACCCGTACTCACCCATTGTTTGAATCAACGGTGAGAGCTTTGCAGTGCTGGAAAGTTCGTTTTTGAGATGATGGACCTAGGATGCTGATGGAGAATTCATTCGGAAGGAGGTAAAGGCCTCCTATTGTAGGCCGAATGAACTGGGTGAGCCAAGACCTATGTGGTTGGTGAGGATTTTTCTTAGTGCTAAATTTCTGTGTATTCATTGCGCTTTGATAGCTTGCCGAGCTATCGCATGCCTCTGTAAAATTCCACCCGCCACTATTTCTGGATGGGTTCCCACCCCCCGCATATCCTGTTCCTGCAGAGAACCTAATATATGCGTACGAGATATCACATGCTACCCTTTCGACTGCCAAAGTTGAGACACCCCTACTGGCTCCTCCTGCACCCATCTCTGTTAACATGCCATTCACACCTCCCGAATCTCTTGACATCCGGTACGCCACTAGTGAATCTCTCGATGTGCAGGCCCTCGGTATGCAGGCCCTCGATGTGCAGGCCTACGACATGCGGCCCTTCGATATGCAGTCCCTCGATATAGATATGTCCCTTGTAGATCCTCTAGACTTGGGTAACCACGTTTTCTGGCCACTACCCTCTGACATCTCCGCCAGCGGTATGACAGCACCTGATACTTTTGAGGAACCTCATACTCTGGTTGGCGATCCAGCCCCCACCAATTCGGATATGGATTTGTATCCAGAGCTCGCCTGGAAAGACTCTGATAATCTATGGGGGAATTTGGATGAGGACGACAAAAAAAGATACAGAATTGTGGTGCAAAAGACAGGCTGGGAGCAAGTCTTGAAGCTCACGAAATGCCTGTTCTTGGGCAGTCTGTGGGTCGGACTCCATGGAAATCCATTCAGGGTTTCAGCAGTGGAAACACGACGCCTCATCACAAACAGCTTTCTAACCTCTTTACGGATTGATGGCAAGATGTACTCGCAGTTTGTCGAACACCCGTGTTTGTGCCTTGCATTTTTGATGCTGCTTGTCGTTATCTTACCGTTTGATCAGTGGTCTTGCATCATACCACTATCGGGTGGTCGGTCATCCGCACCAGTGTGCGCTCTCCCTCATCCCTGCTCTAACTCATCCCTGACTTGTCGGTACAGCTAGTTAAAATGCTCGACAACGCGAAGGGTGAATTGCGAAAAATCCTGAAGGGAGCCATGACCCACTATACTGGGTTTTGTGGTAGCTTGCCCTTGCATAGGAAAAACAAAATCATTTATTTCGTTACGCTTTTCAACTCAAAAGAACTTCGTGATGTAAGAGGCTAGATGCTCACACCTATAATGTTTTACCTCAAATCCTTTCGCCATCCAGATACAAAACACCATCGCCCTATTTATAGGGCTGCAAGCCTTCAGGGAACTGCTCTGGGCAGCGTTGTTTGTCCCGATTGAAGAGTTGGCGCATGGCAAAGAAGATGGCAGGGTAGCAGACCTTTTTACCGAAGAGGTCTGCACATCAACTGGGTGCTTAGCACAGGATACTGTGTGTAATCTAATGACACTCGTGAGTCCTTTCTCCCTTCGTCTCATTTCAGGCAATCACAAAAGCCCCAGGTATACAATACGATGCTCCTTGTCTTGAAAGAAATATGTCGCAAAGAAGCCAAAAAGGATGGTTATTGCCCAACGGATGGCCCTAAATACGAGGCACATGAGACCATGAACGGAATCATCATGTCTGCGCTTAGCCCGATGTATGAAAACCCATGCGAGTTTGTTGACTTCACAAAGGAGGTGACGCACCTGCCCTTCATCACGTCAGTGTCGTTTGTTTGCTGCTAAGGTCACTCATTGTTGTCTACATTCAGGTGTGCGAACATGCTGGGTTTTGACCCGAAGAAGCAAATTCCTCGAAAAAAGGGCACGGTCGGGAAGAAAAAGGTGATGAGAACTATGTAAGACGTTACCAACATCAGCCTTTCTCAACCATCGTCCAGTGCCACACTCGGTGGCCTGCCGAACAATGGAGGCTTTAGGTGTTACAGGTCGTTCACAGATATTTCTTACTCCCTCGACTATTTCACACCTCCACCTGTGGCTGTATCGGAGTAATTTGAACTTCACGACATAGAGTCCTTGTCTTTTCTTATAAAATACTGCTTGGATTTAATATCATCGTTATGGAACAGTTAACGTAGGTTTGACATGTGCAAAGTATTTGGCTTGCAGGGCATATTTTGGGAGAATACAAACGATGTGTTCAAGCACCCAACATCGTGAATCATGATAGTGACTTTGGCGTACCTCTCAAGTTTGAGTTGTTTACTTATTACTTCATCACAAAAATCAAATTTTCAAATTTTCAGATTTTACCCGATTTCGCAAGTTGAACTCGAGCAGCAGTATACTTACCCACTGCTCTTCCCACCACCACCACCCTTGCTGCTTTACTCCAGCCTCTACATTCTGTCGACTTGGGGGAAAAATGCAAGCTGTGAGCCTCACCATTTTGTTCCTTTGCCAATACATCCTCTGTACATTGATCGGTAAATACTGACTGCAGTAACCCTTCGCTTATTCAATGCAGAAACGGTTCATCTTATCATCCTCGTAAACACATATGTCTCGTCCCTGCTCCTATTCCCATGGCAAATGACCCGAACTCAACCTGGGGGTCCTCTGTTCAATCTGACTCATTTCTTGCGAATGGACCTCCAGCCCTTCCCCAACTTTTCGTTGCATCGACCCTCTATTCAATCCCAGCCCACACCGATTTACAAGGCCTCGCAAACGATGGAGACTCCGCCCCCAGTCCATAGCAAAAAGGGACAGAGATACACCCACGCCCGACACACTCCTCAGTATTATGAACACGAACATTAGAACTCTCAAACGGGTCCAACGTATGCATGCGAATTTTGCTGCGCTCAACCTTAACGCAGAAGAAGGTGGCATGGGGGATGAGCCGCCAGATATAGGGGAAGAAGGCATGGTTGATGAGGTTATAGATGAGCGGCCATGGCGAGTGAGATATGCTGGCCTTAGACAAGTGAAGGGACCAGTTGAACTAGAAGTCGGTGAGAAGAATGTGGACGAATGTCTAAAATGGATGAATTGGAAGGTGTTGGATCATGAAGGATTTCAAGGCTCGTTCCATATTCTCCTTTGCTCATCATCTTGTTTGGTGTGATAGGCGGCTAAAGACTGGCGTACTTACTTTCACTTCATGTCCAGGGACATCGAGCGCTGCACTGGATGCGTTGGTATGGGTAATGTCCGAGAATCTTCTCAATGTCAGTCGAATACTATGATTTATGTGCGACCAGTATGCAAAGAGTATGATGCTAGAGGTACCTCTCACCTTGTCCCTTTTGTTGTTAACTTGTAACTCACTAGTAGCGTATTATAGGAAATCATCCTGCATACACTCTTCGAGAGTGGAGTCACGAGAATCCAAGATCTTGAGCAGTACATCAAGGACGATGTCGTCTGGCACGATTTACGCCTTGTTGACCTCGAGGAAAAGTTTGTTGGAGCATACTGCGAAACTGTTAGTCAATCTTTCCTCTTACTCTTGGCTAACATCCCCACTACTTACCACATACAGAGACACAAGTAGAAATTCTCAATGATGATGCGCTGTTTGCTTGTGAAGACGACAAAGACGACGAAAGTGCGTTTGTCATGGGTGGGTTTTCTGACTCACTTGGTGATGGTTTTCTCGGGTTACGGGAGCCTGGCATTGCTGCCGAATTGGGGTTATCGAGTCTCACTATCCCAAAGAAGCTACTCAAAGGGAAACCACGAGGAGCAGCAGGGGCTACTATCGAGTACGTCTTGTCTATTCAGTCTCCAGATTTGTTGTCTGATTTTATTCCACTCTCAGAGCAAAACCCAAAGAACCACTACCGCCATATCCACCACTGCCTCCCTTACTTCCTATCATGAGCAAGAATGTGGGCGACCAGATTGGGTTATTGTGTCCATCACTTGGACCCGCCGACCGCTTCTCAAATCAAGTCAAATTGAACTTTGCCTCGTGGCACTCATACTCTCACATTGGGGCTTGCAGTGTTGTGCTCTCGTTACATCTGACATTGCTTTCCATGCTATCTCAATATTCTCTCATTGAGCGATATCCTGTTAGTGCAGCAGCCTTAGGGCCTTTCTGGTTATGTTTTTTTCGCATTTTGATGCGGGATTTGTGTATTGCAAATAAAATGCCATTAAAATGGCAATGAGTTTTCATAGTGGTTTGTGCACGCCCAACAAGTATTGTGTAGCACCTCATCTTGACAAGAACACCGCTTGCAGCAAATGTAACTTCCAAACTTTGTGTCGTATGTAACCATGTCTGGTACATCATGTTTGCACAGCGGGATAGTGATATGTTATCCTGATTGTAGTAGAATCATCTCTATAGACCTTGTACTAAAGTGCAAGCCATATCATTGAAGACACTGTCACGGTAGCAGACCACCAAATGATGCAAGCGGTAGGTCAAGCTTAAGAACGTAGCAGTGACCACTTGTGTTCACTGCGATAAACAATTTATAGCCTTTTGTAGCTCTATCCATCCAGGATCACACTTGTGTTGTTTGGCAATATGCTACCCTAGGCATATCGCAATTATAACTGATGACCATTTGGCATCATCATCACATGTATTTTGTGACTTATGATTGCTACCTCATTGGCATTGTAAGAAGCCATCATGAAGTCCATCTTAGGCAAAGGATGACCACTATTATGGAGAGCTGCTGGACTTCCTGCAACAGTTTATCTATTGTATGTCACAATTGCGAGACATATATATCTTCATCAGGATTATTTTCCTCTTCCACCTTTTTATCCTTTGATACTATTATGCTATGATTATTTATCGTGTTATCTTCAGGCAGACATGTGATCTGAATCTGTCATTTATACCTATAAAAACCTTCTTCTCGCCGGTTTCCTGATGTAGCGGCCTAGGGAGATGTAGCTAAACATATGTCAGTTGATTAGATGCTTCAGAGACGAATTAGTTAGTACTCACCTTGAAAAAGGCTAAAGGCAGCCTGATAATACAAATCCTGGTCGAAGTCGAAGGTAGTGCAAATCCCAAAGATCGATCGATCAGATGACGACGACGTCGAAGTAAATGATGGCGAAGTCGACGGTTCGGAACGGTTCGGGTGTCCCAAACCAGAACGGAACCGTTCCGGGATGACCTAGAACCGAGAACCGATTTTCGGTCCGGTTCTGGCTGGTGAGAGAACCACGGACCGAACCACAGAGAACCGGACCAAAAGTCCGGTTCGAACCGTGGTTCTGGACCGGACCACGGCAGCACTAACTACAGTAGTACTTCATAGCTGCTACGTGATACTATGTAGTACAGCGCTGACTACATAGAAGGGACTTGACTATGGAACTACACGCACTACCCTGACTATATAGTTCTATATAGTCAACATGTTTTTTCCTGATGTATGACGCGGTCTGGAACATGCCTCTGACCATATGACAAAAATCGATATGTCATATCGGTATGTATTCTATGCTCAGTTATAGATACTCGTCACAGTCGTCACAGCATGTTACAGTGGTTACAGGTGTATATATAGTTATATATACGTTGGACAGTTTTGGTGATGATATGATGAGTCCTTCGTCTATGAAGGGCAGTTGTTTATGTAAGTGAGACCACAGTGGTACGCGTATGAAAATTCAGTTACCGTGACATCCACAACATCTAATCCTATATTGACCTTGGAGCGGCGTCCGCCCGCGTGCACTTTACGGGGTTCTTATATGTCAGCTGGTTCCAAGTTGCGGTAGCAAGGAGAGGACGAGAGTGTGTTCCTGACATGACAACCTTTGGGGGCCCGGTATGTGCTGATTAGGCTTACTACGCATCCGAGTCGTAGCTCTGAACAGCCAGCAGCGCTCCGTGAAGGCAAGTTCATGATGTCCTTTGATAGTACCATCTACGTCTCAGATGTAGAAACCCCATCCATCGCCCGGACCTCCCAGAAAAGATAAATTCATCGATTTCAGCTCTATTCCTTACACCTCTGCCAAAGAAGGGCGATTGTGATACGGAGACGAATGATTTTCAATAAAGTCAGCATATATTGGCCCGTCTTTGTCTTACCGTGCATATCGATGAAAGGATGCGACTGGCAAGGAAGAGCGCAGAACCTCGCCAGTGACAGTGTTTGATTTCGTGGATTCCGTTGAGGTCTTGACACTTTTTACTCATACACTGTCCCGCGACTTTTTCCGATTCCAAGATCCTAAAATATGCGTCATAACTAGGGGACTAATGGTTGAACAACGCCTTCCAGCATGTTGGTGGCTACAGTCCTCAAATCCTTCACAGCAATTGTGAACCCCTCTGCCTGCTCTAAACCCTGCATATTCAGTCCCTCGTCCGGTGGTCTCTCCGGCTCCATACTTTCGAGAACATCATCCACTTTTCCGATGAGATTCTGAATCTCGAGACTAGATTTCGAAGCGATCTGCATATACTTCTTTGTGCGTTCCACAAAGACAAGGAGCTCGGAATCGCGTGTTTCGTGAATGATATAGGGGAGATAATACCACGCGCATCTCATCACGTCCCACCACTGTTGTTCTGTAACAGAGTCAAGCGATGTATCCGATGTCTGTTCAGGTGCGATTCGAAGGAGGATACCAGCTATGCAAAAGGCATGCTGGCTGTAGTATTCGGAATTGCAGTACTTTGGAATCATGCTAATGCATCGATCGATATGGCGATCCTCCGACAAATGAGGGTGCCAGATGGGATTCCTCGCGAGGGCAAAGATTATTTCCAGATAGCACAAGTCGCGGTTATAATCGAAAAAGCGGTCGGAATCATCATTGGCGAGCATTAGACTTGGGTGCAGACAAACCACGGACATAATAGCGGGGGAGAGATTGATCAAAGCTATCTCTCGTAGCCTCGCATCATCAATGGCATCGATAGAGGCAATTTCTTCTCGGGCACTGTGAGCAGCGCGAAGAGCAGCATGGCGTAAATGGAAAGGCATGTTACTGTCCATGCAGGCGATGAGATTTTCGATGAACATATGATGTTTAGCAGGGTTGTAGCTCCCTCTTATGCTACCTAATAGCAAAAGGACGTCGTATGCCGCTTCGTGGTCGTCGGAATAGATGTCGTTGAGGTAGTCCACCATCCAGTCGAAGTCTTCTGCTGGGTGGGAATCGCCTGGCGAAAACGGGCTGGCATACCATAACTCAGCAGAATCACGAGATATGTTAGCAGCAGCGAACGTGAAGTGCAGTACGTTTCGCAGAGCTACTAACAAAACAGAGGCATCGTTTTGTTCGGATGACCTCGTTCGTGAATAAATCTTCCTGCATACTTTCAGGTTCCGCATGATGTGGTACGAAGGATCGTGATATCCAGCAAGCTCGAGGATGCGACAGATGACGTCAAGGAGTTTCCGTGCCCGACGTCTATCATCGTCGAGCTCATCTCCATCCCATGCCCAGAGAGCCTTTTGGAAATGAGCCAAAAGGAGGCCACTGAGTTTAGGCAAAAAAGAACTACATGATCTCTTTGTTAATCATCGAGAAAAACCACCAAATGAGTCGATGGCACCTTTTATCAATCCGAATTATGTCTTTCTTGTCAACCTGAGTCCTGACCATGACGCAGGCAAGAAGAGTGCAATTGGCTATGATCTGGGTCGACGGAGGGGATGGAGAGGATAGCAAATTTGATATCACCGTTATCGCGAGGTCTTCTATGTGTGTATTCGCTCGTCCAGTAACAAAGTGATAAGGAAGAAGATGCGACAGCCGCTCAAGGACGGAGTCAGGGCAAGCCTCTGACACAAGCGGAGCATATGGCAAGCTATTTGGACTACAAAGATTTATAGTCGTGTGAAGAACCGTGCGGTCTGTTGTACAGATGCCTCCACGGAAAATCTCCCAAAACACGTCAGCGTCTCCTCTCTCACCGACAATAAAATTGTCACAGCGAGGATGTGCCTGAAGAACACGTCCATAGTATAGATGAGTTAGAGCCGTTGTACATGCTGAGGCCTTCTCCTCCAACGATGGTACGATGTTCCCTTGAACATCGACGCAGCTCGTAAAAATATCAGACAGCTGATGCAGCATGTCTGAAACATCAAGATCCAGGGGCCATTCGACCTGCGGAACAAGTTTGGCAGTAGCGAGAACTACTTCAGGATCAGTGGATGTCTCAAGCAGCCACTTGATACTAGGTGCTTCGAGATCTTTGGTGGATATGTCCCGGAGGTCGAGGGTAAGGATAGATTTCTCCTCCACCAAAACATCCAGATCCTGGTCGAGCGGTTGTGCCTCTGAGTCCCCAACCATTGTCGAAGGGCGCGGAGCCAAATAACGCAACCCTTTGCGAAGTACGGCGGATAATAGCTGAAGAGGCCATCGTGCGAATGCGCCAGCAGCGCACACAGGGCCTGGGGAGTGAGATGAGCAATGGGCATCCTGTGTAAGAGAATATAAGAAGGTCACCTGCAAGCGCTGCATAAAATCGGGTCCAACTTGATCTGAGGGTACCAGATATCCCTAGCAATACGCCTGATCAACAACGGTCAAAATAGAAGAACACGTAAGAAAATATGGCTCACCATGCGCTGATGTCTTAAGCTGCTGGAGATAAGCGAAGACTCGTTTGAACACTGGGCGTAGAACCCCTGCAGTGTTGATTCAGACGGGGGACGACCACGAGAATTCACGAAATGATCTTACTGTCAATGCCCAACATACATAAGATCGTCGACATCGGCGTTTGGAATGGACAAGAAGGAGATATCAAACGTGCTATCACTGTCAGAAAATAGAACAGAAATCCAGAGACCGTGATGGCAATGATCACCCAAGCGATGCTGGGCCGCTGATACCACATGTGGGCACAGAGGGCAATCTCAAAGAGAAGGAGGGAGATCTGAAGCAAGACGGGAAAGGACTGTACGACAGCATCGAAATACCATGTGATGAGGCCGTCAAACATCTCTTGTCTGCGCTTTCCTCGGCTCTCCAGCGAGCCGCGACCATATCTGGAGAACTTGTAATACCCGAGCCATTGCTTGCCTAGGACAGCCCCGAATGCTGCTAGCAAGCTCATGGACAAGCTTGCATATGCGACCATTTGGATCCTCACAATCGACGCAGCCGGCGACCACGTAGATGCTGGGTCTACGGGCGTGGAGCCCGCAGCAGTGAGGTTGCCAAGTCCAATCTGCACGAGTTGCGCGAGAAGGGCATTCGTGGTGTCGCTGGGGTCGGGACTGAGATCGGACTCCATCGCGACAATGAAAGCCGAGCTAACAGTGGAGAAAAGACCAGACTGATCAAACATCAGTCTCACAACGGATCAAAGATAAGCAGGCGAAACTTACAAAGAGCAAGATACTCTCCATGTCGTCGGTGTGTCGGTCGAGAAACTTCTGGTCGTGTTCCCCTGCGACTTGTCCATAAAGTCCCCAGAAACGATACCGATTGTCCTGGCCACTAGTACTCATCGACGCAATCGTCGAGTTCTGGAGAACATCCAATACTCTCTCCATGACATGTGCTCTGCATGTAGGGTGTCGTTAGCTGCGATCACTTGCCTAATTTGTCGCTCACAATTCTCCTAGAGTCGGCTGGTCCTTTTCCGCCCAGCTGAAACAAGTTATTGGCTTCATTTAAAATTGCCATCGATAGGGACTTACGAAGCTAAATCGCCGTCCTTTGAGACTTTGGAAGCACTTTCCTGTTCGTGATGTTCTGATGACTGGGAAGGCCCAGTGTTTGAGCTGCAGTTCTCGTGAGGAGTTACACAGAGGCATCAGAGCAGAATTATTTACATTCCTGATGGTGGATTCACCGCTGAGAGTCCATCGTTTTCCTTCTCCCTATCTTGCTGTTATATCAGCGACAGATCTCAGGAATCAGTCACTTACTCTGAATCCTCTGGGAGTCCTAGGGTCTGTTCTGGGGCAAGCTGCTCGTCGGCATGGACGCCCTGGTTCTCAGCGCCGTCAGTGCGCGATGCTGAGTTCGACATGAGTAAGTGAGAGCTATGGATATTTAGATACAAAATACAACAGTAGAATCGGGAAGAGTCTGAGTGCACATATATAAGCAGTGGTGGTACACAGCAAGCTGGTTGAGCGCCTGAAACCATCACGAACATGTCATTCTTGACGCTGAAGGTGTCCGCGAATGTCGCCATCTTGGTGTAAGTTCCCAAGTCGTGAATATAAGCCAAGCCAAGGGACTATCCTTTTCGCTTAGATTTGAAATTCGACACGTTCTCGATTTGTGGTCGAGTAGGTACCAGTGTCACATTACAAGCCGTAGGGCCAGCTATGTACAGTGACAAAGCCTGCTGCGGCAATCGGCGTGCCAAGGTCGAATGCCGAACGTTGGGAAGCCATCCTATTATTATTCGTTGCATATCACCCCAGGATGACTGCCCTGGCCCCTGGCCAGCCTAGGTTCCCTGTTCTGGGGTAGGCTGCTCGTCGGTATGGACGTGCTGGTCCTCGACACTGCCAGTGCTCCTCGGATGCTTTTTACACGAATAAGTGAGAGATAAAAGCCAGTGGAATGAAGAAGAGTCTGAGCGTACAGAGATAAGCACAAGGTTGTTGAGCGCAGTTGAGCGCCTAAAACCATCACGAATACGTCCAAGTCTTTGTTGACGCTCAGCGCTCAGCAAGGCTGTTCGCGAACGTTGCCATTTAGGTTCAAGTTCGTAAGTGTTATGATAAGCCAAACCGAGCTCTGACTTAGGGTTGAGCAAGGTTGAGGTTCCTTGATTTGTTCTCGAATCTCGATCACGTCGAGCAGGCCGTATGCATGGCTGTCGAGCTACATGCATTACTAGGAGTCTAGGACGTGTCCACTGCCATGTTAGAGATGATTTTCCTTTGTCCATAAAGTCTTTTGTAAAGACCTTTGACCGAGTCATGACTTGAGTCGATAACGGAGAACTAGCGCTAGCTATCCTTGGATCCGAGTAGAAATCCTTTGTAAATCTTATTTTGATCGTTGCGATCAGGAAAACCAACTCTAGGGTTATCATTTGATTGAGCACCATGCTTGCCATCTAGCAGCGCAACTGATTCATCAATGCACGCATGACATGTGTCTACCACTGAAGTCAGGGTCAGACGACTGATGCATTCCATATCGATTTTATTGAGGTCTTGATACTTCCCACATACACTGTCCCATGACTTGCTTCGATTCCAGGACTCCAACACTATGCAAGCACCATCATAATTAGGCAACTAATCAAAGCCCTCCAGCATGCTACTGGCTGTAGTCCTCCATTCCATCACAGCAATAGTGGTCCCCTCTGCCTGCTCTAAACCTTGCATCTCCGGTCCCATCTCCAGTCCCATGTTCAGAACATGATCCACATCTCTGATGAGATTCTTGAGACCAGATTTCGAAGTAACCTGCATATACTTCTTTGTGCCATCCACAAGGGCAAGGAGCTCGAAATCGCGTGTTCTGCGAATGGCATAGGGAACATAATACCACGCGCATCTCATCACGTCCCACCACTGCTGCTCTGTAACAGATTCGAGCGATGTAACTAACGTCTGTTCAGCTGCGATTCGAAGGAGGATACCAGCAATGTATAAGGCATGCCCCGTGGGTGATTCGCGATCGCAGTACTCTGAAATCATGCTAATGCATCGATCGACATGGCGATCTCCAGACAAATGGGGGTGCCAGTCGGAATTCCTCGCGAGGTCAGGGACTAATTCCAGATAGCACAAGTCGCGGTCATAGTCGAAAAAGTAGTCTGGATCATCATTGGTGGGCATTGTACACGGGCGGGTGTGGACAAAGCACCAACAGAATAGCGGGGGAGAGCTTGGTCGAAACCATGTCCCATAGCCTCGCATCATCAATGGCATCAATCGAGGCAATCTCTTCTCGGGCACTGTGAGTAGCGCGAAGAGCAGCATGGCGTAAAGGGGGAGGCATGTTACTGTCCATGCAGGCGATGAGGCTCTAGACGAACATATGTTGTTTGGCAGGGCTGCAGCTCACTCCCATGCTACCCAGGAGTAAAAGGATGTCGTATGCCACTTCGTGGTCGTCGGAACAGATGTAGTCAAGATAGTCCACCAGCCAGTCGGTGTCTTCTGGTGTGCAGGAACCGCTCTGCAAAGACTGGCTGGCATACCACAATTCAGCAGGGTCACGAGATATGTTAGCAGCAGCGAATGTGAAGTGCAGTGCCTTCCGCAGCGCTGCCAACGAAACTGAGGCATCATTATGTTTGGATGACATCGCTCGTTAATACATATTCCTGCACACGTCTAGGTTCCGCATGGTGTAGCATGAAGGATTGTAATATCCAGCAAGCTCGAGGACGCGACAAATGACGTCGAGGAGGTTCCATGCCTGGCGTACAACTCCCGTGCTATCTTCGTCGAGCTCGCCTCCATCCCATGCCCAGAGAGCCTTTTGGAACTGCGCCAAAAGTGACTCCCCGAGTCGAGGCAGAGCAGAACTGCACGATCTCTTTGTTAATCATGGTAGAAAAACTATTAGATGAGTCGATAGCACCTTTTATCAATCCGAGCTATGTCTTTCTTGTCAACCTGAACCCCGCCCATGACACAAGCAAGAAGTGTGCAATTGGCTATGATTTGAGTCGACGGAGAGGATGGAGAGGATAGCAGTTTTGATATCACCGTTATCGTGAGGTCTTCTATGTCTGTATTCACTCGCCCAGTGACAACGTGATAAGGAAGAAGATGTGACAGCTGCTCGGGAACGGTGTTAGGGAAAGCCTCTGGCAAATAAGGAGCGCACGGACGACTATTTGGAACACAAAGATTTATAGTCGTGTCAAGCACCGTGCGGTCGGCTGTATGCGCGCCCCCCTGGGCAATCTCAAGAAACACGTTGATGTCTCCTCCTCTCCTGCCAATGAAATCGCCACGGTTAGGATATGCCTGAAGAACACGTGCATAGTATAAATGAGTTGGAGCCATTGTACATGCCGAGGCCTTCTCCTCCAATGATGGTACGATGCGATCTTGAATGTCGACGCAACTCATAAAAATATCAATATCAGACAGCTGATGCAGCGCATCTGAAACATCAAGATACAGGGGTCCTAGGGTCTGTTTTTGGGCAGGCTGCTCGTCGGCACGGACGCGCTGGTCCTCAGCGCCGTCAGTACTCGATGCCAATTTTGACATGAGTAAGTGATATTTGAATCCAAATACAAGGCAGTGGGATTGGGAAGAGTCTGAGCGCACAGATATAAGTAGTGGTGATACACAGCGGGTTGGTCGAGCGCCTGAATCCATCACGAACATGTCTTTCTTGACGCTGAGGGTGTTGCCATCTTGGTGCCAATTCGTAAGTTGTGAAGATAAGCCAAGCCAAGTGAACTATGGTTATCGCCTAAATTTGAAATTCGACACGTTCGAGTAGTGGTGTCACCATATAAGCCGTAGGGCTATGTGAAGTGGCAAGCGCCTGCTGCGGTAATCCGAGCCAAAGTCGAATGCCGAACGTTGGGAACTTGTTGGGAACCCTTCCTATGTTCGTTGCTTATCACCCCTAATCCCCATTGAGGACCACCCTGGCTGGCCTAGGAGAGAGGGTGCGCCGGCTGTCCTGGGGCAGGCTGCTCGTCGGTATGGTCATACTCAGGCTGGTACTCGGCGCCCTCAGTGCTTGATACTTCAAGTTTTGACATGAATAAGTGAGAGCTATATAGAAGCCAGTGGAGAGGAAGAGTCTGAGCGCACATAGATAAGCACCAGCTGGTTGAGCGTCCACAACCATCACGAGCACGTCTTTCTTGACGCTGAAGAATGTTCCATCTTGATGTAAGTTCGTAAGTTGTGAAGATAAGCCAAACCAAGTGACCTAGTAAGCGATAGACGATAAACGATGTTTGATTGGCTGACTACGCTACTGATGTAAGTGACACGCGGACGAGCAAATTACATCCACAACATATAATGGAGTGGTGTCCACCCGCGCGCATGTTATGTGGTTCTCACGTACCAGGGTTGGGGCAGCAAAGAGGGGATGGGCGCGTCCGACACGACAACCTTTGGGGGTATGTGCTGATTGTGTCCTCAGTGTGCTCATCGAGAAGCTATCGTGAACAACCAATAATAGCTTTGCTTACGCTCTGTTTTGAAGTGCAAACCGTGCAGGGCACCACTTGCAGTGAACATTGAAATCGCAACACAGCCATTACAAGTGAGAATGCGACAGCATCTACAACACGGCTTGCGAAGGGTCACGATGATCACGAGTTCAAATACAAGAGCAGTCCCGATGATGCCGAGGAAGCGAACGTACAAAACCAACCCGCTTTAGTATTACTGCTCTGCTTCATTGTCACCTTCGTCTTCGAGGATTGCCTCTTCATCCTCGTTATCGGCGCCTTCATCCGGAACCACATCGCCTGAATTTTGTGGCAGTTGTGATGTTTGAGAAACCTTCTTTCCGCCATCACGCGCAGCAGTTGTTATATCTTCACCGAAAAGTCGTAAACTGAGCGCACTAAGAACGGTCTATGGGTTACCCAGGGAAACGGGATGTGTTATATGTCGAACGAACCTTTTTGCCTTCTTGTCGATCATGAGAGTTACGGATACATTGGACTTCCACAGAGGTAGAAGGAGGTCGTGTGACAGCCTGTTAACGTCAGCTAGATGCATGTACCAGTGTGTAATACACCTACGTTGAGTCGTTTGATTGACCAGCTGAGAATCGGACAATATGACTTCCAGGACCTACGACTCGATGTAAGCGAAGTATGATCAAATGATTATTGCAAGAGCCATACTTCTGTTTTCAATGACAGATCGGAACGGGTCCGAAAACGATGCGCAGAGCGGATAGTACGTTATCAAAAGAGTCTTCAGAGTCGCAAACTCGGCGTCCAATATCACGCTCGGGTCGATATACGGAAGAACGACAGGTAAACCTTCCCCAAGAACACGGAACTGCGCCTCAAGTCCCCGTCCTGCCTCTTGCTTGGTGATAACCTTCGTCCCGCTCGTCATCAGGCGCATGCGAGTGTAGTCGTTGTTCAGAACGACGGCTTTCACAAGGTCGTTTGTAAGGTAGAAAGATCGTACCGCATCACCTTCCGGATTGCGGACAAGGACGTTCGACGACGGGAAGCTGGCCATAAGATTAAGCTGATCTCTGTGATAGTGTGAATTGGAGTCTGAATATGATACAGAAATACGCACATGCAGGACATCAAGGTTGGATCATTGGGTTCGAGGAAGGTATAGGGCATTTCCTTGAAGGAGGGATCCGAGAGCTTGGGTTTACCCTTGAATGTAGTTTTCTTTGTGTCGGTGACAGCCTGCACATCTGCCTGCACAGTGTCCAACACCAACAGGCGTGAACTATCGTCCTCAGACATTGGTGTAGGCGGAAATGAAGCACTAGGTTGGGGTTCTGGCAGATTGTCGAGGTCAAGTTTAACCTTTTTGGCTTCCGGGACAGTGATCTCAACTTCCTCTGCGACTCTTTTTCTGGACAAGCGTAAGAAATAATTCGGGAAAAGATGACGCTTGAACCTACACTGCAGCACTCGCATGACTACTTCGTGACTTTCTTTCGAGTACAGCAACGAAGAATCCACCCGTATCCTGAAGATGGGGATATATTCGCATGCTTGTGAAACCTCGTAGTCAGAGGACGTTGTGATACAACCGCCACGAGATGCAACTTACCAGTGGTGTAGCTGCAGGGAATCCGCGTTAATAGGCGGCCAGTGGGTCTCCGACATCTTACTGTCTGCTCGCTGTTCCTCCGTCAGAGTTTCGTTGTAGGCATCCCATGTTTTGAAAGTTGTATTTATTGTGCGATTGACGGTGGGTGCCCACGAACTGATGCCCGGTCGTCTGACCAGCTCCGGCAACTGCGCGGAAACATCGACTAACTGGAAATCTATATTATGCGTCAACATACTGCAATGATCGATCCGTAACGGCCTGAAATCACCTACCATGATTAGAGTTTAAAGCAGCTGCTATAACTGCTTCGTTTTCGACGGGATTAAGTGAGCAAGTCGAATAAACAATGCGACCGTCAGGCTCCAGCATGCGCATGGCCCGCTGCAGGATGCGGGTTTGGAGGCTGTTGGAAATGAGCGGATGAAAGATGAGCGGATGTACTGAGCAGACCTGTGTAGGCCATTCCCATCCATAGGCTGCCACCGCTTCCATATCCCAATATTCTTTCGTAGCGTGCCGTCACCACTGCAAGGTACATCACATAAAATGCGATCGAACAGGAGCTGATTTGAAGACTTTTTGAATCCACGGCGAGGATCCGCAGTTGTCACGGGAAGTCTTAGGACAGGGAAGATTGACGCGTCCAAATTCGTGACCATGAAAGCCGGACTGGGAAGACGAGCAGATTGGTGAATGAGAAGATGCGCCCGCTTGCTGTCGCTGTCGTTCGCTATTAAGAGTCCCGGAGGAATAGAAGTTGCTGTTGCAGTGTCTTGCGCATGCAGAGCTTCCAATAGTTGCGCTGTCTAAGGTCTATCAAAGACGAACGCAATGGCACAAGAAATGGGTTACCTTTGAACCAGGGGCGGCACACATGTCAACGACCTGCCGAGCTACGGTTTGTACTTTGAACATTACGGAAGCAGCCCGGTATACTTACCTTATGGTGCGGCTGGACATCGAGGAACAACGGTGGAAGCATGCTGACTGCCTCTTGTCTTGATATATTGCCCTGTTACATGCATCATAGACCGCGTAACTCGAGGTGAAAAATCACGTACGACTTCGGTCTCATGTACAAGGAAAGAGTGAAATTTTTTGAACGCTTGTTGCTTCCTCAGAACTTTCTTGGACACATTGAATTGCCAGGCTAGGTCTTCTGGATACCTGGTTAAGCAAAACATCAGTCTCGCACATTGTATATACATAGGGAATATGGCGCACCAAGGAATCCGAGATGGAGGCGGTACAACATCACCCTCAAAAACAACATCGCTCAACAACGGGACATAAGTTTTTTTGATAGCGTCATTGAGAGCATGAGCAATCCTAACACCTCCGTCATTGGAGTTGGTATGGAAGAACAGAAAGGCACGTACTCTCGACTTCCGGCGATGCGGAAGGTGGTAGGTAAGGGACGTCTCAATGCCTCCATGAACTGATCCCATTCCTCCTCAGGGATGATGTGCTGAGCCTTGTAATACGAGCTGAAACGCTCATTTTTCATATCGCTCTTTTCTAGCATACCGCGATCGTCATCGTCGCGCGATTTTCCCGCTCGGCCTCCTCGCTGTCGTTTCTAAGAAATGGAGTGTAGTGGAATTCATCCATGAGTATGGTTTGAGACAGAACTTCTTAATCACAGACCACAGACCTTTGACCGAGTCATGACCCCTTTGGATTTAGGTCGACAATATTTAGAGAACTAGCTGTCCTTGCAGTAAAAATGCAGCAAGATCCTCCAGGATATACTGTAAACCTTATTTTGATCGTTGCAAGTTGTGAACAATGTGAAGATAAGGAAAATCAACTCTAAGGTTAGGGTTTCGTTTACTTTCATCGCCATCTTGAAATTCCAGCAGCGCAACGGTCAACCACATTTTGTTTGACTTCATATTACTTGACACTGCATCATCAATTCATACGCGTTACTAAGACATCGGCTGTCTAAGTCAAGCTCTAGCAGTTTTCGTCTTCGTAACACGTTTGACGACTTGACATTGGTGATCGACTCAACAAACGACAAGCTTCTTCGCTCCTCAGAGGCTGTATAAGGACATAATAGTTATTACACGTACTACAACTCCAGGCCTCCCCATCGTACAGCCCTACATCAAGACAGACGTAGGCAGCTCACAGTGACGGCCATTCAGAACCTATCCGTCCCCGATGTCACCCTAACGCGCCTGCTGAAGTGCCCGGCAGCCCCATCCAATTTTGTTCAGTCTCGACGCTACGTAAATGATATCGACCGCTCTCGAGTGCTGTATGTGTCCCATCATCTTCAAGCCTTTTTCTGTGGCGTAACTGATGAGTATTGCGTTCACAGAACCTGACATTTGCGTCCGTGTATGATTCTTATTCGGCGCACCCTAGCAACATCAATAAATTGTCATAAATCATCCCAGACACATTCATTGCACTGGATTTCATTTGACGTCCTCGAGATATTGGCTACCGAGGTACGTATTACTCATACTACTCGATCACATTACTGAAGTCCTCGCCGCAGTTCTAGACTCAACAATTCTCTCGCATCGCTCTGCAGCGGCCGGCTGCCGAAGAACCTTCAAGCCGCAAAGCCCCATCAATCGCCCGGACTTCCCAGAAAATGAAGGTTGAGACCGCGAACCCTATGCTAGGGAAACGCTGACGGCCTATCAAGAACCGATCATCTCGAAGGGCAGAATGTCGTGGAGCATGAGGAAGGAGACGATAGTTGTCGCGGGCGAGGTCAATACTGATTCGCTTTAGGTGGACAACTTCATTGGTTTCGGTGCTATTACTTACATTTCTGCCAAAGAACTTCGGGCGATTGTGATACGAATGGTAATAAGTCTGCATTTGTCGCCCCGTCTTTGTCTTTCCGTGCATGTCAATAACGGATGTGACTGGAGCAAGCACAGAACCTCGCTAGTGACTGTCTAGTTTTGACCCTGTGGAACAAACAACCTCCCCTCGACATTTACATGTTGGTCCAAAATATTTGCATCTCATGCCCGTTGTTCCTCACGCCTGACATGCATATACTAAGTCAGAGACGACCAGCTGATGATTCAATATCGTTTCCGTTCAGGTCTCAATCTTCTCGCTTCCGCACATGCACTGCCACATTGCTTCCTAACACGTCTTGCGCCAGCCACTAATAATTGTTGACCAAAGCTCTCTATCATGTTACCGGCTGCAAACCTTAACTCCTTCACAACAACGGCAATCCCCTCTCCTTGCTCTAAGCTTTGTATCCCCGGCCCTGTGTCCAGACGCAACTCCTATAGCCGCCTCTGCCATCGCATGTCCCGCTCCAGATATTTGAGAAAACGATCCAATCTTCCGATGAGCTGCTTTAGATCAGATTTCGAAGCGATATACTTCTTGGTGCCATCCACAAGGACAGGAAGGAGGTCTATATTGCGTGTGTTGTGAAAGTCATGGGGAGGGTAATTCCATGCACATCTCATCACGTCCCACCACTGCTGCTCTGCGACAGAATCGAGCGATGCATCTGATGTCTGTTCAGGTGCGATTTGGAGGATGATACTAGCTATAGCTATGTAAAAGGCATGTATAAAAACATTTTGGCTGTTCTGGTACATTGCGCAGCTGATTACGACCAGGCTCTGCTAATAGCGGGTAACTAATACCCACCTGGGGTTTGGTTCGCTCAGAAACGACTGCATTAAAGTACCTACAATGCTAAGAGTGTCGCAAGTACATTCAGACTCACATGCACAGCTTAGGACTCCAAAACATAGCATAGGCACAAGGCAGACGAAAGGAGGGCCACACCACCGGAAGAATATTACATTATCATACGTGAATGAATACAAAGTGTCAAGAAATACGACACTTTCTTCTATCTAAACGGCGCGAAACCGTATTCCAGATGAAGACCCTTCACAAAGAAGGGATGGGGGGCAAAAGATTGTGCGAGAATCATCAACAGGCCCAAGGGCTCCAGTTGAAGACGACAGACCCATAAAGCCATGGAATCTGCTTCGCTCTGGCGGAAAGAGCTGCCAAAAAATCAAAGGCGGCAAAGCCACTGCAAATCGTACAATGAGCATTGGAATTAGAACAGAGGTATAACTTACGACCATGCAAAGCATGAAGGACTCCCCAGGAAATGTGTGGGTTACATAACATCAACAATTTCCGGATGCATTTTGACGAATTGCGTTACTGGCAACTGGGTTTGACTGGATATGCTCCCAACGGGCTCCCCACCTCCCTGCATGGATACACATAGACCCTACATACGCCTGAAACAATCGTGAAACGAGATTCGAGTCGAAGCTAACGGCGTATAGCAAGAGCTTGACATCATAAAAGAGCTTTCGATGACAATAGTCTGTGAATCATAAGTCACAAGTCCGATATCGGATGACGGCTCGAAAGCCCAGGTGTACTGAGTCGCGCCGTGTGAAGCACAGGAGCATCGATAGGTTCCTTCAAGGTCATCATCGTATGCTTGGTCCACAACTTGCTATATGAGCAACGCATCATGCATCATGTTTGGTCTCGTCCACGCGGATAGGCAACGGACTATGATGGGCTTGCATAATGAGTCTGTGGAGCTATACACTGGTCAATGGATGACTGCGTGGCTTTTGTGCGCGGGCATTGGTTTGGTCACCATATGACTGGGTCATATAAGCTTGTGCGGTATGCGTCAATGGTATGAGTTTATCATGTACTTTGGGGTTTGCGGGTCAAGGAGGACGATGCCGCACGTGCACAGGCAAACGCACAAATGCACCGATAAACCGCGCCCGACGTATCGAGGTGAACGATTCTCGTGTACAAAGACAAAGCCACTTGACCCTGTTTAAAATGCATTTGGATTCGGGAAGAGGGCGATGCCGCACGCGAACGCACGATGCACCGATAAACCACGCCTGACGTATCAAGGCGAATGGTTCTCGTATACAAAGACAAAGCCACTTGACCCTGGTGATCACATGCGGTTCGAATATCAACGATATGGTTGCGTGGTTATGCAAGTTTGTGTGGTATGCAATGATCTGGCCAATGTCATGGGTTTCTCAAATAGTTTTGGGTCGGCGGGTCGAGGGGGGTAATGCCGCATGTGTACGAACGACCGCACGAATGCACCAAGAGACCACACCCGACGTATTGTCGAGGTAATCCTCATGTACAAAAATAGGCACTCGACCCTGTATAAGAATTGACGGGAATATAGCAATGCGGCACGCGAACGCACAAATGCACCGATAGACCATGTCAATGAATGGAGACAAATGATCCTCGTATGCAAAGACATCACCATACCCCTGATATCGATTGTATCATTTGATTCTAATGCACCAGGTTCAGAGCGATGATCAACGGCGAAACAAGTGGTAAAAGCATCGAAATTGAGTCGAGCATTGAAAAATATCGGTTCGGCGCTGGATAGCTATGGTGTGGTCTTGGGCGATGAGTGAAACAGAGACTGTGAGACATTTGCCTGTCTGGTTCGCAGCCTCGTTGCAAGATATTCGTAGAGGAAGCCGGTAGGAGAGCTTGCTTGCCGGTCCCTCATGCTTTCGACTCAATGACCGGTCATGGACACGAGCTGCAGTGCTGGAGATTTGTAGAGAGGAAAGGGGAAGAGAGAGAAGTGAAAGAACGAAAATTGGAATTCCGATTTTGTAACAGGGCCGGAGACTGCCGGAAAGGACAAATAAACACACGGCGTGCCTTGAAGCCAAGGTATAAAAAGTTTGAAATCTGAGGTGTGGGCCCCTGATACATTGATTCCAAGTCTAGAGGCGTAACTCTAAGATGTAAAACAAATTAGGATATACTCAATATCATTCTTTTCTTATACATACGCAATCACTCCTTGAGTTGTTATTTACGGTTCCACGTACACTTTCCTGACTATTATCCTACCTGGTCCTGTTCCTAAGTATGATCCATAGCTAGCTAATCTAGTCTTTTGATCCAAGTTTGAGGCCCTTTACCGTTTCCAGTCTCGACGAGCCTCTCTTCCTTCGCAATGTAACAGTAACAGTAGTCTAGAGAGACCAACATTTTATGACAGCGTACATAGCAATGAATATTGACTGCGAGTGAATGCTCAGGAAGAAGGAAACTTTCGGGGAATCTTTCCCTAGGATCCAAACAAGAGCAATCATGAAGCAGGAACTCCCTAAAATGTATGGGTTGCCGAGAGAGGCCATCAGAAGGGCTGCTTGACTGACAGTTAATAAAATCCGAGTTTTGAGAGGGGATCCAAGAAGGACGGGTATGGTGGGGACTCCAGCCTTCTCGTCCTCATCAAAGTCACGCACATCTGTCATGACCTTTCGGAGTTCGTGAGTTAGGAGTTCTATTACATGTAGAACACTGCCTTACAGAATGAATAATGCGATTGACCGTTGACCAAATGACAATCTCAATGATCGTCCATGGGAGCGCGTTGAAATCTGACTTCCACGATGCCTGCAGTGCCGAGTGAACAACGAAAAATATCCCACAACTAAAGTTCTTCAAATTAAAACCCATGAACCGTCAGGATGCAATATCACATACCCTCGGATGATGCCGTTGAATATAGCCTTCATGCCAGGAACTCGTTTGATGACGAATGGAGTACCAGGTATCGATGAACTATACCCCACTTCTTGACCATGCTTTGCAGGTATGAATCTCTGGATGACCGCACCAATTCGCCGAGGGTTGAGCGGCGTCGCCCACAGGAAAGCGGGGGTAGTAAAAATTGCGGTGACGATAGTCATTTTTGGTGAACCTTGACAAGCGATTACAAGCAGCGATGCATTCAGGACCAGAAACATGCGGGCAAGAAAGAACAGGGAAGCGAAGCGTTGTTCAACAGCTGCGCCGCATGCGCTAATGACAATTTTTTGGTCCTTAAAGTGGTCAATGCCAACAGCAAGAATGTCACATGTAACGCATACGGTGATCTTTTGTGCTATTCAATCAGAAGACCGTAAGGACTGGAATACACAAACAAAGAGCTTACCGGCCTCCAGTCAAGCCGTTCAGCGATCACGTAGGACATGAGGGATGCGAGCACAAGACTGTTTATAGCCACGACGACGGGACGGATGATCACAGCGTCAACGAAGCCTGAAACTGTGGGTGTAGCCATGTTTTTGAGGTCAGGTTCTCCATTGGTGGCTAGGATTTTATCTGTCCTACCATTTGAGCGCTTGGTGGGACATGCCAGCTGGCTACAGGGCTGGGTTTGAGGACAATCACATGGCAAGTGAACGCAGAATATCGTAAAATGTCAAACAATGCCATTGTGGAACAATTGCGAGCCGTTTGTCGCGACAACACCGATGGTTAAATGTTGAGCAATATTAACGAAGTAGTGTAGAATGAAATAGGATAATAGCAGGCCGATTCAATAGCGAACATTCCGTCTTGAATAAAGTTTGCTAATGAACCGGTCACCTGGCCCGGCAACTGGGGGTTGCCCAATTAGGAATTATTATACTTGACTTACTACTGAGAGCATACGAAGCCCAAGTCGCGATGAGGTATTGGACCTCGGAATATGAGGCTCGTCGGAATAACATATGCTCTGCGAGTATTATCGCAGAGAATACTGATGACCAATATCCAATGATGTCTGAAAGATCAGCATGTTAGTGCTGACAATAATACCGATATTTGGAACTTGTGCAAGGATGTCCACGAAGGTAGCATAAAACCTTTTGGCACCAACAATGACCACTGGTATGAGGCTTGAATCAAAATCGTGAACATCGCTGAGGTTTGCATCCACTTGATGACACTCACATTCCCTTTGATGCGAGGATATATACCCATCTCGGCACCGCAGCAAACCACATAGTAATAGCCAAACTGTTGCTGAACGTATATCGATGGTGCACAGGCACCGGATATGCTAAGAGCGACCAAAGCAGTCGGTATTTTTTCCGAATGCACCTGTAGGTAACAAGACGCTGTGTAATAAGCCACCGACGGAAGAGCTGTTATCAAATCCTGCATTCCAAGCAGGCACGCTTGGAGCTGCTGCTGCAAATGCGGCATCCAGAGCCTGAACAGTCACCTTTTTCGAAAGAAAAAGGTCAAGATGTAACTGACACTGACATAGATGGCTTACATTAGATATGAAGAACCCAAGACACGTGTAAACAAAATTTTGAGCACTAGTATGGGAATGTCAAGAGAGCCCTGGTAATGCCCAGGGACAGCTCACGATGAAGCATCAGGGCTATGGTATACGCCATAGTCAGGGATTATGAGACACCAGCCAATAATGCTAGATGCAGGAAACGATGCAAAAGAGATGATGTTAGCAGGTGTTGCCGGAGGGGCGGGAGCTGATAGGTTTTCGCGTAGTTGCGGATAACCTGTAGCCATTCATGGCGATAAATGCAATCACATTCGGGATCCAGGCGACACTTTCGTACCTATGGGTCGACATTCAGTCAGAATTCTGGATTATTGGTGTTAAAGTGGTCCCACCAATGAATAACGCGGTATCCACAGAAAGCGACTTCGAAATCTGTCATTTTCGATGCAGCGGGAAGAATTCAGGCATACTACAAGGGATACGATACCAAGGGTCTCATCAAGACGAGAAGACAGGCTTGCAAGCGTTTGTTCACCAATGATACAGTTCAAAATGAGGAAGCCTTCCAAGGAGAAAAATATTGAAGACAGCCGGTACGATGGCACCGATATCCGTCAGGGAATGATACCGGCAGTTGGAAAAATAACTTACCCCCATGAGAACCTTGCTTGTATCATAGTTCGCATGCCAAGCTTTGGATCGAAAACGGCACAAGTGCATCATAAAGTCCCCAGAAACGTGCAGAGAAGAATAGAAGAACCCGCAAGAATCCTGGCAATAAACAACATCTAGCTGAAGGTCAATCGCTGCAGATCGAGATTTTGTGAATTGTCGACTTACACCAGGTGAACAATGACGATGATGTCGCGAACTCCCAGGGAAAAAAAGTAGGGCCAGCAGCCCCAAAACCAAATCTGCAGGTGTTAGGCAGATCAGGGAAATGCACCAGAATTAAGACAGCAATAAAAGCGCACGCCAAGATATTCATGCAAGAGGATTACCAAACGAAAAAAAAATTGGTACCACCGAATCTCGAGACGTTCCTCTTGGACCGCTGGCACCGGCGCGATGCTTATCCAAGGACAAGTGTCACAACCCCATCTCACTCACTCATGGGTTTCAATTCCATACCTGGAAAAGTAATTGAGTAGTACGTCTGAGGAATCCTATATGATAGCGACTGTCCTCCATATTCTCATCCCTCGTATGCTCATCAGAGGACACAAATGGGTCTGGAATGGTAGTTCAACCCACCTGTCCTGTTTCCACTCTACTGCGTAAGACTACATTGCGTGAGTAGTAATCGAGCGTTTCAGTTTGATTGATATGCAACAGCGTCAGTGAGAGTGCCAACCGAGTCGGGCGCATTAAATTCCTACAGGTTGCTAAATGCTGTTAGTATAGGCGGAAGTCAAGCATGTGGATTCGAAACTTTACGGATTATACATACTGGCACATCAAAACAGCATGATCTTTAATTGATCAATCGAACTTCTCGACTCGGATCTGTGTCGTTCCCGCTTCAAATCGGGAATGACGCAGCATGGTTCAGTGAACATATCTCTGCATACCACATGAGGGGGGTCAGAATTTACGGGTGCACATGACATGTCCATTGTAAACCATTCAGCATTCTATTTTTAAACTATATTGTCTCTTCGACGTCACAGAACACTTCGTGTACACTGTACATGCATGCTATTTGCTTTAATAAACGACTATTGTTAGGTATCTGATTTACTCATCTTCGTATACCACAATTTTTGGGACCCCTTGCCAACGCGTATGTGATACTAAGCCCCCTCCGCAAAATCCTACGTACACCCCGATATTTCCATTTCCATGCCTCGCCACTGGTCCTGCATAGCAAGCCTGCGACATGGATGGAACGAGATCTCCACAGCCGAACGCGAAGGTCACAACCGCGGAAATATCGTTAGGCAAAAGAGTATACGAAGCCCAAGGCGTGAAGGGACGATATTGATCCTTAGAAAACGAGACTCGCCGAAGTAAGAATCGCCGACGAGTATCCGATAATATCTGAGATCTGAGGCCTTTTAATGAACACATGAAAGACGCGTCGCGACTGTCACTGCGACCGACACCGAAGACGCCCACTGAGAGTGAAGTTAGACAAACCAATTATAGTGGGTAGCCAGCGTGATGGAATTGAACATAATGTCACAATACCCAAAACAGAATATGTGTGACACCTGAACCGTGCGTGACGCGTCCCCGACGCGCGTCGAGACTTATTGGCTGCCAAGTACTTTAACTGTTTTAGTTCTATCATCTTATAGACATCCACGAGCTATGGCAGAACGACCAGCAGCAGATATTACAGTTCCATCACAGGATCCAAAGGAGAAGAAGAAAGAAGAGGACAAGAAGCTAGACACTAAAGCGAATGGTGTAAAGGACGAGGAGGAGGAACTGGTGAGTGTTAATCACATTAGCGAAATCAACATTAGCTTGACTTATATCTCCCAGTCAGAAGAAGATGCACAGCTCAAATCTGAGTTGGAGATGCTCGTTGAACGGTTAAGGGTGCGTGCCACTCACGATCGAGGTAGCACAAGTAATTGAATTGGTAGCAGGAATTGAACACGGATCTCTACCGTCCTGCTCTTGAAACGCTCCGGACACTCATAAGAACATCCACGTCGTCCATGACTTCCGTTCCGAAACCACTCAAGTTTCTACGCCCACATTATCCCGGCCTGCAGGAGCTGTTCGAGACATGGCCCGCATCTGAAAACAAGGTGCGAGGAAAGCCTTTCTGTATAACACTGGCTTATCATCTTGTAGAGTCTATTCGCCGATATTCTCTCTGTTCTCGCTATGACCTACTCCGATACTGAACCACGAGGAACCCTCCGCTATCGCCTTCTTTCTGCATCCCTCCTCCCTCCTACATCCAAAATATCTGAACCGGGTTCTTGGGGGCATGAATACGTTCGTCATCTCGCTGCTGAACTAGGAGAGGAGTATACCATCCGTCAAGAGGGTGAAGAGGCAGTCCCCCTACCCACAGCAGAAGCTGATTCAGACGCGCCTAAATCAAAGCCTGCTCCGGTCCCTGGCACCATCGAAGACTTACATAACCTCGGCTTAGAATGTGCCACATTCTTCTTAGGGCACAACGCCGAGCCAGATGCCGTAGACTTATTCGTGGAGCTCGAGATTGTTGATAGGATAGCAAGTCTCGTGGATGCAAACACGTTCGGTCGTGTGTGTGCATACATGGATCGGTATTTTTGCCTTCTTGTACATAATCTCGTGTCTTTAATCTCTTTTATAGATGCGTCATGCTCCTCCCACCTCCTGACGATGTCACTTTCTTGCGCACGATACACAAGATCTACCTTCAATTCTCCAAATTCCCCGAGGCTCTCGGTGTGGCTATCCGCCTCAATGACGCTGCGCTTATTCGACAAGATTTCAACGCCTCTGGCAACCCGTGAGTCGTGTCATACGCGCATTGATATCCACTCATATCTGCTCAGAATAATGAGGAAACAGCTTGCTTTCCTTCTTGCACGTGCACAAATTCCCATCGAATGGCTGAAAGCGTCGGCTTCAGAAGACCCAGATGCAGATGCAGAAGATGAATTCCCAGAAGACATCCTAGACTGTCTAAGCAACACACAGCTCAGCAGACATTTCAAGGAATTCGGGAAAGAAGTGGGCGTTGCAGATCCGAAGAGCCTTGAAGATGTCTATAAGAGTCATCTGGAAACTACAAGTGCGTTTTTGAAGCTGTTTTCATTGTCTGTTTCTGAATGATTATCAGGATCAGGGCTGTCTGCCAACGTCGACTCGGCTCGTGCTAACCTTGCAGGCACATTTGTCAATGCATTCGTTAACGCTGGTTTTGGTAACGATAAACTGATGGTAGAAGCCGAAGAGGGCAGCAGCTGGGTTTACAAGAACAAAGACCACGGTGACTACCTTACCAGTTCGTGAAGCTGGTATACTGACAACTTTTTTCTAGGCATGATGAGCGCTGCAGCCAGTCTTGGTCTTGGACTCCTCTGGGATACGGATGTTGGCCTTAGCCACATCGACAGATATACATACTCCCCTGAAGAGTGGATCAAGGTATTATCTACTCCGTGTTATGATACATCCTTATTAATTATTTAGGCTGGTGCATTTTTAGCCACAGGCTTGCTGAATGCAGGTGTGCGCACGGAAGCAGACGCCGCCCTTGCACTGCTAGCAGAACACGTAGAGAACAAATCCGTCCCACTCAAAATAGCCGCAATCATGGGGCTCGGTGTAGCATACGCAGGCTCGCATCGCGAAGACTTACTCGCTCTCCTCCTTCCTGCAGTCGCAGACGACAGCGTGTCGATGGAGATCGCTGCACTCAGCGCGCTTGCACTGGGATTCGTGTTCGTAGGTAGCGGAAACGGGGAGATTACGAGCACGATCTTACAGACACTGATGGAGAGAGATGACAAGGCTTTGGACGAGAAGTGGGGACGATTTATGGCGTTGGGGTTGGCGCTGCTTTACGTTGGTACGTTTTCATAGTTTTTTTTTGCGTTGGAAGACGTGTTGAGTCGGAGTCACAGGCTTGCAGGATGCTTCAGATGCCACGCTTGAGACGCTGAAGGCTATTCAGCACCCGATTTCAAGGCAGGCGCAGATTCTTGTGGAGGTGTGCTCCTTCGTTGCCACCGGGAACGTCCTGCGGGTGCAGAGATTGCTGCACTTGTGTGGCGAGCACCTTGATGCCCTCAAGGAGAAGGAGCAAGCTGAGAGTGCGGAGGGAAAGAAGGACGAGAACAAAGATGAAAAGAAAGAGGACAAGAAACCCGATGATACATTCCAATCGTTCGCCGTTCTCGGTATTGCGATGATCGCCATGGGAGAGGATATTGGTGCCGAGATGTCCATGAGGCAATTCAACCACTTGGTATAACTTTTTGGGAGAAATGATATGTAGTCGTCTTACTGACGAGTATCATTATCAGATGCACTACGGCGATCCTATCATCCGCAAATCTGTCCCCCTTGCTCTCGGCCTCATCAGCGCCTCAAATCCACAGCTCCCCGTCCTCGACACACTCTCAAAATACAGCCACGACCACGACCTCGCGGTCGCACTCAACGCTATCTTTGCAATGGGCCTCGTGGGCGCGGGCACGAACAACGCACGGCTTGCACAGATGCTCCGTCAGCTCGCGGGATACTACTATAAGGAGCCTGATTGTTTGTTCATGGTCCGCATCGCGCAAGGTCTCGTACACATGGGCAAGGGCACGATTGGGATCAATCCTTTCTTCTCGGATAGAAACATCATGAGTCGACCGGCTGTTGCGGGTTTATTGGCGACGATCATGGCGTTTACGGATGCTAAAGCCTGTAAGTACTCTCGCTCTAATTCATGCAAGCGTATTCTGATGAGTGCATATAGTCGTGCTCGACAAGTACCATTGGATGCTTTACTTCCTGGTGACTGCCATGTACCCTCGCTTCCTCATCACGCTCGATGAGAACCTCGAGAGCAAGCCTGTGACAGTTCGTGTCGGTCAGGTGAGTTCATAGTTGTCCCCTTCCGTGTCGCATGCGGCATATCCTTATTCGTTACATAGGCTGTGGACGTCGTCGGCCAAGCCGGCAAACCACGCACGATATCGGGCTTCCAGACGCACCAGACGCCTGTACGGCTGGGGACTACAGAGCGTGCAGAGTTGGCGACAGAAGAATTCATTCCGTATGCACATGTTCTAGAGGGCTTTGTTATACTACAGAAGAACCCTGGGTGGGAGAAGGAGGATACGATGCAAATGTAGGTATATTACATGTCGTTGTGCGTGAAAAATTGGAATACAGGATAGGGTATCACTTGTTTTACAATCAAAGGTGACACGAAACATGATGCATGAGGGGTATTAAACGGAAAACATCTCCCAGTAGCTCTTGGCCAGGACCCTGAACGCGACATAATATTGTAGGACACGAGTCTTATATGCCGGGTTCTCCATACCACCGTTGACGCCAACGACTTCGCATCTGCATCTTCGCACCCTTGCTCGAGACAGCGGGTATGTTCCATCGAGGACAGCGTTACTCAGCACATTCGTGACGGGGATGAGGTAGAAGGCAGGGTGCGTTCCCGCCATTGTGATGCAGGGTAAGGTCATCTGGACAAGTGCTGGGAGGCCCACGGATTGTCGAATGTGGTTGTTGTGCTGGAATGCAGAGATGGCCTCTGCAATCACCTGTGGCTCAGGACTTTGGATATTCCGCGCCGCTTTATTTTCTTCAATCACCTGGATCATCTTTGTGTCTGGATCCACCATGCAGACATTTGCTTCTGCAGATTTCTCCTCACCACAGATCCACAGAGAAATCCAGTATCTTTCATGTATGAGTGAGTCGTGTTCCTTGAAGCCGCAAACGGTGAGAGCAAAATGAGCGAAGTCGTCGACCTTGGACTCGCGCGTTGTGACGTTCAAGTACTGTAGGAATGTGTGTGTCTGTTCTGAGACACCGATAGTGTTGACCGTGGCAGTAGCTAGCGCTGGCTCGAGTCCTCCCAATGGTATGTTTGTCGGAGACGGAAAGAATTGTGCAAATTGTAGATCCAGTTACTGGCCGATTTCGTGGTAGGAAGGTTGGACATGAGTACTTGAGTGTTGGCCTTTGTATGTCGGCGTTATGTCAGGATGGAGAGAAGGGAAGACGAGCTGACAGAGTCAGACTCCCAATTCACAGATTTGATGGATCTAGTAAAAGAATCTGTTAAAGCAGGTTAATAGAGAAAGATTGTTGAGAGATTGAGAGGAAAGGTCCAGCACCGCCAGAGCAGGGCTGGAAGGTGCCGCGTCTGAACTCGAAGCAACAATGCGGTAAAAAGAAAAAGTGAGGGATAAGATATGGGCTTTTAAGATACAGACCTTCTTAGATTCTAGGCGCGTTCGGATCAGGATTGATAGACGCAGACCGCGGGCTGAAGGAGACACGAATCTGACCCAAAGTACACTGATGATAGCCTAGTGGGTGGGGTCGAAAGAACTGCAAACCGTTCAACACTTGTAACAAGCTTGCGGGGAGCTCAAAAGGATGGGACACTTCGAAGAGGCGAAGATGTGAAACCTATAACCGACTTTATGTAAATGAGAACGAGTATTCCATATGACAAATATATTTATAAGTGGCAGTAGGTGACCGTAGGTGACCGTGCTCCCCTAGAATTGCTTCGGTCTGTCCTTTTTTAGGACGTCAGTACTCTTTGGCGAGGACACATCAAATGGTCATTTACCTGAGCTCCGACTAGCTTGGTCCAAGCTTGGTCCATGCCAATTTGCACTTAGCATCCCGTTACTCCCGTATAGGCGGGAGTCGAATCCATTAGTAGCAAGTAGTGATGTGCACGGCCCGGCTTCAGGCCGTGGGCCGGCCAAAGCCGAGCCTGATTAGGCCGAGCCAAGCCGGGCCCAAGTCAGGGCCTGACCACGGCCCAGGGCCCGGCTTGAGGTGTTGAAAAGCCTGAGCCGGCGGCTCAGGCCGCGGCTTTTTGTCCCTTATCGGCCTCGATATTTGCGACCATGTAACTATGAAAACAGGGTCAGTCCAGCTAATCCACCAACCATGTACATCCCTCCATTCGATACCACCTCCTACTCCATACTCACTTCACTACTTTCATCTATACCAACTTCTCTACCATCCATACCGGAAACATTGACCACAAGAACCTCTTCTCCATCTACAACGTCGGTCATGAATCTTTCCACTCCGGGGCAACAGACATCCAGCCAACAGTCAACTTCAGACAATCCCCAAAACGTTACTCCGCAATCCTCGCAGACTAGTTCCTCTGATTCACCAACTCCCACGTTACCAACCACGTTCCCCGGAGGCTCTCCAACAACAGTGCCAGGTGCACAATCTTCCCATATCCCACAATCTCTGTGCGGAAGTCCTGTGAACACTACTCTTCACTCACCGTAAGTCATTAGAGCTATGACCGAATGTGTTGACCTTATTGTGTGATTCTAAGCTTCGCTGGAGTTGCAAAAAATGTCATAAGCACGACATCGCCAATTACACACAGTGGGTAGTGCTGCCGTGGTCCGGTCCCGAACCTTGGTTCGAACCTGACCAATGGTCAGGTCCGTCCATGGTTCGGTCCATGGTTCCATATTTTGGACGGACCGAACCGAAATGAGGTTCGTGGTCCACTATTTTCTGAACGGTTCTCACATAGGTTCGGACGTTCCCGAACCGTTCTGAACCCCGAACCGAATTGTCCTCGCAATATCGGCGAGGCACACCCATGCTCACTTCGACTTCGACTTCGACTTCGACTTCTCCCCCCATGGTCATGTCGACTTCGGGGATCCTCAAGATTCGCATTGTCTTTGAATCGGACGCTCGCATCCCGCACCCCCGGTTGTCAGAAGATGCTCAAGGTATGTGAACTGCCAGTCAATAATCTCAATATATTGATTGGTATATCACATTGGTATAGATCTACTTTTTGCTTGCCCCCGGTTTCCAGGAGACGCTCGAGGTATGTCAACTGTCAATAAGCTCAATATACTGATTGATATATCATTGATATAGATTTACTGTTTGCTTGTTTCACACATAAAGGGAGCAAGCCCCACCAGGTGAGTCGTATCATTTCCTCTCGACATGTCCGAATCTGACGGATGTGCTCTCAATGCTGACGGCTCCCTCAAGGACGCCAAAGATATTGTATTTTACAATGACCCTGATGATATTATCCCACTTGGCACTCCGTCCTCTGCCCAGCCAACACTATCTACCACTCCCACAGGCTCAGACGCCTTCTCAGTGCTGCTGAAGGCTGGGCGCAAACCAGCACCGGTTACTGCAGGTGCTCGTCGCTCCATTCGGACATTCAAGCCTTCTGCTCGCCTCCACGATGCCGACAACGCTTGCTCTCACCCATCATCCTCAAACAGCTCAACAGCCCGCAAACGTGCATTATCTAGTGCGACCGAGCGGCTAGTCAGCAAAAAGGTCGCATTGCAGCTCTCAGCCCCGTTATCTGATGATGACGACTTTCACGCGGCTGGTGCCGATACGGATACTGACACTGATCCTGGCACTGGCCACACTGGCCACTCTGAGTCAGTCGAAGATGAGGACGCACCCGAAGATGACGATGCGCCGACAGCTGAAGACGAACCTGACGACGAACCTGACGATGAACCTCAAGACTCAAACATCCGAGCCACTCTGTCAAAGAGTGAGCGCACTGCTGATGTTCGCACTGTCTTCACTCGCAATGACAAGGAATGGGTATGCGACGCAATGCACTCGCGACTTCCACGTTCACTGCATTACAATTGCTGAAGGGAGCATATAGGAATGGGCACCTTTCTGCAGCAGTAGAGGCTGAGGGCCATGCAGCTTCGTTGGACAAGTAGCTACACTGTCTATGTTTTTTGTCACTAGCTGTAAAAAATTTTGTGTTCAGTTCGCGTTCAGACCGAAAAAAAACCGAACCTGACCGTTTTGAACCGTTCGCAAAGGTCCAGTCCAAGGTTCGGCAAGTCTACTAGAACCGGACCTAGGTTCGGTTCTTGGTTCTTGCTCAACCCTCAATGAACCGGACCAAACCGGACCGCGGCAGCACTAACAGTGGGGATGCGTTCTCTTCGATCACCTATACTTCGATTGGTACCTCTACTATTACAACATACTCCTGCTTTGGGTCTACCTCAGCACTCGTGACCCTGACATCATCTCCTCATCCTCTTCCCTCCTCCTACTCACGTCTGTCGTCCGCACTCGTTTGAGCCATATCAGCAGTTGCTGACGTGCGCTGGGCGTTTGCGCATGGCGTTCGTGGTGTTGGGAATGGCGTGGTGGAGCTTCTCAACCTGGTTACCTGGGTGAATTCACGCGCGACTCGGAGTACCGATTTACATTGGTATGCGCGTGTCGTTGATTGCTCACCGTTACAAATATGCTTAGATTGAATTTTAGATCATTTTGTTCTTGAAAGCCGTCGTTGAGCCCAAGCCGAGCCGCGGCTTTGGCCTGGCTTGGGCTCACGGCTTGGCCTGAGCTTTTGCAAAGCCCAAGCCCCCCAAAGCCGGGCCTAAGCCGGGGCTTTCAGGCCGAGCCGGGCCCGCACATCACTAGTAGCAAGTATGCCATCACTCCACGATGACTCAGCTGTCGTGAGGTTTCCCGGTTGTATTCCTCCTTGGTTTGTTTTCTAGCTACTTGTGCGCATTATTTATTACATTCCATCTTTTCCTGCACAAAGTAACACGCAGTTGGGACGTAACTTAACCCCTAGGTGAAGGAAGTTTTCTGTGAGTCATTCTTATTTCTCTGACATTCAAGTTTGACCCCTATAAAGAGAAAGGGAACATGGCCAATATCATTCGTTCTCCAAAGTCATGCGGCAAATGGGATGACAATGAATTGATCGCATACAACATAACCGTCACTGCTGTACCATCACAGCAATTCTTTCCCCAGGGAACAGATGTGCCTCTAACTGCGGCAGGCCTTGATCCCGCACTCGCCACCGCCGACTCGTACAGCGCCGATGTCTCGGACAGTACACACTGTTTTCTCCAATATCTGCGCTCTGCCACCACGCCGTCCATTGATGATCGAAACATTCGTGTGCCGAAGATTACCGACTTCGCTCGTCAGCTTCTCATTACTCTTGGCTTCGAAGAACATCGGTATTGCGTGTGTCGACCGTTGGAGATCCCGTTGTTGATTTGTGATGACATCCGCAAATTCGCGGAGACAAGCTTGGGCTTGCAGGACCTTGGTTCAACAAAGATGGTACCTCTTCTACAAATGAACAAGACGCAGATAGATCGCTCAAATGTCGAAGCACATATGATTTCAGCAGCCATTGCGGCCTACCAGTTCAACAATAACATGCGGCAAGAGAAGGGCCTGCATCCACTTGATGCCATGACCATGCCTTGCATCACGATGGCACCCTTGGCAGCACTTTTTAGTGCTTCCCATGGTCTGTCAGACCCGGTTTTGTGGTAGGACATAACACATCTCTGAGATAACCCTCTCCTAGGAGGGTCTCCCTCAAATCCTCCAGAGTCACCAGAGTACCCTCATAGCCTCGTTGAGAGAGTCTCCCTCCCATCCTCTGGAGTACCCTCATAGGCCTTGTTGAAGGGTTGGCTCTGGTTGTCCGTGGCACGCCATGCTCCTAGAAGAGCCCTCAAGCATGTTATCGTGCCAGTGGATCCCACTGCCCTCAAAATAATATAGAGCCTCTGGTGCTCCTCTCACATGCATTATGTTTTCCTCTTTGTCATATCCGCTGTGTTTCTACTTACACCTATGTCGTCTTATCTCATCACATGTTTTTCTTCGTTGAAATTATATTTATTAGTTCGTACTTATGTTATTCTAATAAAATATATTGCACCCCAGTACGGTCATTCTTAATTTTCATAGCAATATTGAGCCCGTTCTGAAGCAAACAAGAGCAGCTGCTGGAGCCACTAAACTGATATTGTCAAAGTCAAAACAACAAGGTCCATAGCAACATAGGTAGGGTATGAGAGGGACAGGGCAAGAGTACGACAGGGCAAGAGTACGACAGGACAAGTGCAGGAATGAGCAAACCATCATGGCAAACTATCACTGCGAAAAAACAAAGCAAGCACGAAGATGAGCTAAAATAATGAGCTAAAAAAACACAACTGCAGCCAGGCCCATATCAAAAGTCAATTAAGATGAAGGAGGGCGTGGAGAGTCAACTGGATCTCGACTAAATGATCGCGGCACAGCTTCATGATGAGCATAGTCCAAAGATGGAGCATTACGACGATCCATCCATCTGGAATCCAGGTGACGAGTTCTTCTTGGAGGGTATCCGCTTTCACGGTAAGCTCCTCCACCAAATGCCCGGCGCTCATCGAGATCATCACGTCGAGAGTATCCACTTTCGTGAGCATATTCAGGACCAAGTACTGGGCTGTATCGACCTGGGTATGTACGTTCACGCTCACCGTGAGCATAATGGTCATCACGGTATACCTCCAAGGCTGGAGAGCTATCCCGTGTGGTGAAGTCACTGTTGGCATGAGGCTCGTTGGATCCGTAACGGTCGTGAGGTTGCAAACTAGGATAACGGGGATTGCGATGGTCACGGTGATAGAAGGCATCGTGAGGGCGGAGAGCATCATGCTCAATGATTGGAGAATCTTCACGCAGATGATGGACCTCACGACGACGCACAGCCTCGTGCATGTACCACGGCTCACGAGAATGACTGCAAAGAGGCTGACGAGGGTCATGCAAGATGTCGCGAGGGGTGTGATGGGGAATGTCTCGAGGGTCATGGAGGACATTGTGACGAGGCTCGTGAGGATTGCGGAGAGGGACAACCTCACGTTGAGGTTCCCGTGGGTGATGTATAGGGTCACCCTCATGAGGGTCTCGCTGGACAGCCTCATTGGAGCCTTGCTGGATACCCTCGGGAGGGTTATGATGGACAGGAAGCTCATCACGAGCTTGGTGTGTGGTATCTGGAGGGTCGCGAGGGTCGTGAACGATATGGTGAAGATCCTCCTCAATAGGATTGGTGGTTCGAGCCTCTGAAGGCAAGTCTTCCTGTACTGTTTCCACAGCGACATTATCTAAAGCAGGGGGGACAACACTCTTCACAGCCACATCCATCTTCTTACCCTTGTCCACTTCAGATCCATCTGAGTGGCTGTATGCCATCCGAAGAGCACGTTTCATTGTACCCTTGGATTCCTTGGTGATTGGACGTGGTTTTACTAGAGGGTAGATCAATAGATATTTTACAAGAATGTTTGATTTAGAAAAGAAAAGACTTACCCTTTGTGTGCGCGTTAGAAGGACCATCCTGAAGTGACGCTACTGCTGCAGCTATACACCTTGAGTCAACTAGAGTTAAGTTAGAATAAAGGGGGGTACTCACCCCCAGCCTCAGGCTCTGGTGATGCCGCCACACTCGATGACCCCACTGTCAATGGGGACAGAGGGCCACCCTTCATTGGAGAAGTCGTTGAGGTTGGTAAGGCAGGTGCTTTGGGTTGCTTCGAATGTGCAACTTTTCTCCCCACTTTTGACACATCAGCCTTCTCGTTGGATGAGGCTGGTTTCTTTGATGCATGCGATGTATTCCTAGACTTCAGTTTTCTCTTCTTTCCACGTGCTTCTTCATACTCGCTGTCAGGCTCTGTGGCGACATTCTCTCCGGCCGAAGTAAGTTCAATCACCTCATCATGTGCAGCAGTCGGTTCCGGCTTTGGAACAATTTTGAATTGGCGTGAGGGTGGTCGTGCAACGACTTTAAACGGAGGTGGTATTGGTGGTGGTGCAGTGATTTCTACTCGCATGTTAGCTTTTCGGAACTTACGAACAGGAGGTACCACTGGATGATCATCATCTGAACTGTCATCGTCATCATCATCAGGTGGCGATGGGGCTTTTGTCACTTTATCGGCCTTTTTGACTTTGGTAGCTGCATTGCTGGGCTTAAGACGAGCTGGGCCGTGGTAGTCTGTGTCACCATTAACAAACAGTCGTCGAGCACCGGCATGTGGCCAGTCAGAGGGAGGCGCTATGCCTGTGATGACCGGCCTTTCGGAGGCCATAACAGATGCTACAAATAATATTAGAATTATAATGTGCTTACAACAACGTAATCGAAACTTACCTCGATGTACCTTGTCAACTTTGACAACTTGCATAGTTCCTGACTTCAATGCCTCCACAAGCACCGCGATTTCTTTCTGGGTCAGTGCCCCAATACCCTTGTTCTTTGAGTTCTCATTGTGAGCTTCGCCAGGCAAGAGACACCTGTCAGCTGGATACCCTCTAATGCAGAGATTGGCATCAGCAAGCGCGCTGGCCATGCCTTTCCAAGGGAAGTTTTTATCCCAGGCACACTTGCCCCCAAGCTGGGCTAGTGTACATTTAGTTAGATGAACCAAAAGACCAGCAACGTTCCAACGTACCAACTTGTTTGATCAGTTCGAGCTTAATCCACTTCAAACCATCATCACGTCCTTCGGGAGCCTGAGACTGATCGCGACCATTGTTCGAAGTCGAGCGGGGGGTCAATGAGTCGCTGTGGGTATCGTCATGGAACACTTCATCCACCGCAGCCAAGGACGTGCTATTGCTATTTGGAGACACAGCGTCAGTTGTAGCATAAATGTAGTCATATTCATACTTACTATACGTGTGCTTTAAGATGTCCGATGATGGCATCATCACTGGCTCGGCATCGTGTCTGCCAGAACTACATCTTGCTAAGTATATGTAAGGATTTAGACGACAAATAATCCTACCCCTGCAGCACCCGGCGTACTATACGAGTGACCAAGTGATCCGTCTTCATTGACCACTTTGCCACATAAGACAACGGCTGCTTCAAAGCCACACTTAGCGGAAGCAGAGTCAAGCTAAGATAACAATATGAGGCGATGATGAAACTTCGGGTGAGATAACATACAATCTGTATTACTCTTCGATAATGCTTCTGGAATCCCTGTCCACGCTGAGCTATTGTTTGAGTAGATGATCCAAGGAGTAACGCCTCCTCGTGCATTAACAGAAGGTCTTGATAAGAATCGGGATAGGCCTCTTTGAATTTGTCATAACATTGAGTGCGCACGGTTGCACCTGTAAGAAATATAAACCTCCTGTGCAACAAGACGTAATATGATAACTCACTAGGTGTGCCACCTCCGGCTGGGGCCTCTCGGCCAATACGTGCAAGTTCCGTCTTGATATGCTCCTTGAAGTAGTTGGCGTACAAGTTCCAATAGTTGGTACCATTCACGGTGCGTCCATGACTCTTCAAGAACAAGTTAATCAACTGTGAAACAGGAAGCGTAGTAGATGTCGAGAGGTCGAGAAAGCAGCGCTCGACTGCAGCAAACCCTACATCGAGTGCTGTGTTCAGTTCTGCGGACCTACGCCCGGTAACAGTATGCCCCTCTTGATGGGTCACTGGCTCATGCTCTTCGGGAAAGCGTTGATGAAAAGCAGTGGCCACACCAATGGAATTCGTCGAGGTGGAAGTGTTAGTCTGGAATGGTGTTGGTGGAATTATGTTTGTTGCTGGGAGGGGAGGTGCATGATCTTGAGGCGATGATGATGGAACAGGCCTAAGGATGAATGGTGCGACTTCGCCTGAAAAATCCTGCGTAAATCCTGAAGGTGTTTGGCCTGTAGTGTGAGGCTCTAGGGAACATGCACGAGAAGCCATTGTTTGACCTGACGAACTTGCAGGAAAATTAAAACTTGGAGGCAGTGCTAAGCGGTTCATGTCCTGTGTGATGAGGTGATGTTGTGATCCTCCAGGTAAAAAAGATGTAGTCCCCATCATGGTAAAGGCGTCAGAGGAGTTGGGATCCATCCACGCAGGTTGCTGGCTCATAGAGCCATAAAAAATATCCTGGAGCTGGGCAGGAGCATGTGGAGTAGGAAATGGCGACGCGTGTCGACTACTAGCCACGTGGCCTGTTAGCGATGATGTTTCGTTTGTCGAAGTGCTGTCTGCCACCGTATGCGTGAAGTCCGTTGTACCAGACTGCACAGGTGCGGGATCTTGATCTCCCAGAGTGAGGTTTTCATAGGCCTGGCGGCGGATTGATGCACCTTTGACAAGGCCAACATCACGTGCTGTGGCCTTGAGCTTACTCCTGAGTCGTGAAGGAGTAAGCTCGACAGGTGGTGTTGCACATCGACGACCACCACCGAACTGTTCTTGCATGTAATCGAAGGTATCTGAAGATAGGCCCACATAGCTCGAGTGAGAAGATGGTGGGTTATCGGGGGCGTTTTGAGTCATTTCTGTAGTATATAGTCAATGATAGTCCATAGAAGAAGAATGTGAGTGCATGCCTACTGACCTGTATGCAAAATACTAGAGAGAAAATCTGGCGGTAATTCAGAAGGGACACAAAAATAAAGCACCGGAGCCCTGATACTTATGAGGCTGGTTTGAGCTGATACTGGGTCCCTCTGCACAACAGTAATCCATAGTT